CATTAACCTGGCGAGTGTTGACATTCAGACATTTACGATTCCCCTACAGCAAAAAAAGGAAGACAATGGAACTTTAACCCCGGAAACGCGGCGTTTAATCAAGTAGTCTTGGCAGTGTTATCTAGATTTTCTAAAATTACCAATTCACATCATCAACAAACTGTTCAATACACTATTCTTCCCAATTTAAACGTATTGCTCTGAAGTTTGGGGAATCTATGATAAAAATGATTATAGCCGCTGGGATAAAGACTTGATTGAGAAAACGCATATACATTTTTGTAAGATGTGTTTAGGTTTAAACAAACGTTCACCGAATGTTGCATCGAGAAATGAACTTGGTAGATTATCTCTAAATTTACAAATAACAATGAACATTTTCAAATTTTGGATTCACCTTGAAAATCAACCCCCTGACAGCATCGCTAAACTCTGCTTAAACATATCGGATAAAATGACCGAAGAAAATAAATCAGGTCTAATAAATAAAATAAATCTTTTGAGTACACAACTTAATATTCATAAACAGTCAGTTAACTTTAAAAACCCTTCTACTTTCCTATCCAAAGCTGAGAATAATTTGTCAAACATCTGAAAAGCCACCAGCTAAATTTGATAAGAACAAATAAAAAACTAAAATTCTACTCCATCTTTTAAAATGAAACAAATCACTCTGAATTCATCAATCATATCCGGAATCCTGAACATAGGCGTGTAACTTCCAAATTTAGGATAGGAAATCATAATTTAAGAATAGAAACTGGAAGATTTACAATCCCCAAAACGCCTGCAGACCTTAGAATCTGTGATCATTGCAACCAAAATTCGGTTGAAAATGAACTGCACATATTATTTCACTGTGATCAATACAATGATTTGAGAAAGACTCTTTTTATTAAAATCAACGACCGAAACACATTATTTACACATTACAATATCCATGATAAAGTCTGTTTTCTTTTTAACAATACTGATTCACATATCAGCAGGCTAGCTGCTAATTTCATCTTTCAAGCATTTGAAAGACGAAAGAAACATAGTTAATTCTACCATTCCATCATACCTGTATTTCCTTAAACTTAGCTGTTTATTATTGTTATTTTAATCGGTAACACCTGTACAAAATGGTAATACTGAATATACTTGTTGTTGTCGTTGTTGTTGTGTTGTGTGACATAAAAAACAGCCTCGTGACATTTGTGAAACCGACAGAGCGGAAGTGTTACTAGCTTTTTTAATCCCCCGTCGAGACCGAAAGGAAGTTTGGTTTTCGCTCTGATTCCGTAATTATCAACCAAATTGACAATCTATTCTTCACAGCAATTCGTTTCAAGATTTTTAATGGAATTAGCCAAGAATCATCGTGAAACTGGTAAAGCAAGGTAAGTCTCGAAAATGTGAAAAATGTGTGTTGTCTAGTTAAATTGATACCATTGCATTGCCTTTGAACCGAAGATATCACAGTCTTGCCAGTCTGACATCATCGTTAAACCATGGCACGGCAGGTCTTTTTCCAATTTTCTGCGATTTTAGCGGAGCATGGTGCTCAAGTAAATCAGACAGTGTGATAGTATAGCAGTGAGCCATATCATCAAGCTGTTGAGGCATATTTTAGCATAACGGAGAAGCAGACAAATCATCCAAAAGAGACTGGTCATTAACCTGGCGAGTGTTGACATTCAGACATTTACGATTCCCCTACAGCAAAAAAAGGAAGACAATGGAACTTTAACCCCGGAAACGCGGCGTTTAATCAAGTAGTCTTGGCAGTGTTATCTAGATTTTCTAAAATTACCAATTCACATCATCAACAAACTGTTCAATACACTATTCTTCCCAATTTAAACGTATTGCTCTGAAGTTTGGGGAATCTATGATAAAAATGATTATAGCCGCTGGGATAAAGACTTGATTGAGAAAACGCATATACATTTTTGTAAGATGTGTTTAGGTTTAAACAAACGTTCACCGAATGTTGCATCGAGAAATGAACTTGGTAGATTATCTCTAAGTTTACAAATAACAATGAACATTTTCAAATTTTGGATTCACCTTGAAAATCAACCCCCTGACAGCATCGCTAAACTCTGCTTAAACATATCGGATAAAATGACCGAAGAAAATAAATCAGGTCTAATAAATAAAATAAATCTTTTGAGTACACAACTTAATATTCATAAACAGTCAGTTAACTTTAAAAACCCTTCTACTTTCCTATCCAAAGCTGAGAATAATTTGTCAAACATCTGAAAAGCCACCAGCTAAATTTGATAAGAACAAATAAAAAACTAAAATTCTACTCCATCTTTTAAAATGAAACAAATCACTCTGAATTCATCAATCATATCCGGAATCCTGAACATAGGCGTGTAACGTCCAAATTTAGGATAGGAAATCATAATTTAAGAATAGAAACTGGAAGATTTACAATCCCCAAAACGCCTGAAGACCTTAGAATCTGTGATCATTGCAACCAAAATTCGGTTGAAAATGAACTGCACATATTATTTCACTGTGATCAATACAATGATTTGAGAAAGACTCTTTTTATTAAAATCAACGACCGAAACACATTATTTACACATTACAATATCCATGATAAAGTCTGTTTTCTTTTTAACAATACTGATTCACATATCAGCAGGCTAGCTGCTAATTTCATCTTTCAAGCATTTGAAAGACGAAAAAAACATAGTTAATTCTACCATTCCATCATACCTGTATTTCCTTAAACTTAACTGTTTATTATTGTTATTTTAATCGGTAACACCTGTACAAAATGGTAATACTGAATATACTTGTTGTTGTCGTTGTTGTTGTGTTGTGTGACATAAAAAACAGCCTCGTGACATTTGTGAAACCGACAGAGCGGAAGTGTTACTAGCTTTTTTAATCCCCCGTCGAGACCGAAAGGAAGTTTGGTTTTCGCTCTGATTGCGTAATTATCAACCAAATTGACAATCTATTCTTCACAGCAATTCGTTTCAAGATTTTTAATGGAATTAGCCAAGAATCATCGTGAAACTGGTAAAGCAAGGTAAGTCTCGAAAATGTGAAAAATGTGTGTTGTCTAGTTAAATTGATACCATTGCATTGCCTTTGAACCGAAGATATCACAGTCTTGCCAGTCTGACATCATCGTTAAACAATGGCACGGCAGGTCTTTTTGTAATTTTCCGCGATTTTAGCGAAGTATGGTGCTCAAGTAAATCAGACAGTGTGATAGTATAGCAGTGAGCCATATCATCAAGCTGTTGAGGCATATTTTAGCATAACGGAGAAGCAGACAAATCATCCAAAAGAGACTGGTCATTAACCTGGCGAGCGTTGACATTCAGACATTTACGATTCCCCTACAGCAAAAAAAGGAAGACAATGGAACTTTAACCCCGGAAACGCGGCGTTTAATCAAGTAGTCTTGGCAGTGTTATCTAGATTTTCTAAAATTACCAATTCACATCATCAACAAACTGTTCAATACACTATTCTTCCCAATTTAAACGTATTGCTCTGAAGTTTGGGGAATCTATGATAAAAATGATTATAGCCGCTGGGATAAAGACTTGATTGAGAAAACGCATATACATTTTTGTAAGATGTGTTTAGGTTTAAACAAACGTTCACCGAATGTTGCATCGAGAAATGAACTTGGTAGATTATCTCTAAATTTACAAATAACAATGAACATTTTCAAATTTTGGATTCACCTTGAAAATCAACCCCCTGACAGCATCGCTAAACTCTGCTTAAACATATCGGATAAAATGACCGAAGAAAATAAATCAGGTCTAATAAATAAAATAAATCTTTTGAGTACACAACTTAATATTCATAAACAGTCAGTTAACTTTAAAAACCCTTCTACTTTCCTATCCAAAGCTGAGAATAATTTGTCAAACATCTGAAAAGCCACCAGCTAAATTTGATAAGAACAAATAAAAAACTAAAATTCTACTCCATCTTTTAAAATGAAACAAATCACTCTGAATTCATCAATCATATCCGGAATCCTGAACATAGGCGTGTAACTTCCAAATTTAGGATAGGAAATCATAATTTAAAAATAGAAACTGGAAGATTTACAATCCCCAAAACTCCTGAAGACCTTAGAATCTGTGATCATTGCAGCCAAAATTCGGTTGAAAATGAACTGCACATATTATTTCACTGTGATCAATACAATGATTTGAGAAAGACTCTTTTTATTAAAATCAACGACCGAAATACATTATTTACACACTACAATATCCATGATAAAGTCTGTTTTCTTTTTAACAATACTGATTCACATATCAGCAGGCTAGCTGCTAATTTCATCTTTCAAGCATTTGAAAGACGAAAGAAACATAGTTAATTCTACTATTCCATCATACCTGTATTTCCTTAAACTTAGCTGTTTATTATTGTTATTTTAATCGGTAACACCTGTACAAAATGGTAATACTGACTAAACTTGTTGTTGTTGTTGTTGTTGCAACCAAAATTCGGTTGAAAATGAACTGCACATATTATTTCACTGTGATCAATACAATGATTTGAGAAAGACTCTTTTTATTAAAATCAACGACCGAAACACATTATTTACACATTACAATATCCATGATAAAGTCTGTTTTCTTTTTAACAATACTGATTCACATATCAGCAGGCTAGCTGCTAATTTCATCTTTCAAGCATTTGAAAGACGAAAGAAACATAGTTAATTCTACCATTCCATCATACCTGTATTTCCTTAAACTTAGCTGTTTATTATTGTTATTTTAATCGGTAACACCTGTACAAAATGGTAATACTGAATATACTTGTTGTTGTCGTTGTTGTTGTGTTGTGTGACATAAAAAACAGCCTCGTGACATTTGTGAAACCGACAGAGCGGAAGTGTTACTAGCTTTTTTAATCCCCCGTCGAGACCGAAAGGAAGTTTGGTTTTCGCTCTGATTCCGTAATTATCAACCAAATTGACAATCTATTCTTCACAGCAATTCGTTTCAAGATTTTTAATGGAATTAGCCAAGAATCATCGTGAAACTGGTAAAGCAAGGTAAGTCTCGAAAATGTGAAAAATGTGTGTTGTCTTGTTAAATTGATACCATTGCATTGCCTTTGAACCGAAGATATCACAGTCTTGCCAGTCTGACATCATCGTTAAACCATGGCACGGCAGGTCTTTTTGTAATTTTCCGCGATTTTAGCGAAGTATGGTGCTCAAGTAAATCAGACAGTGTGATAGTATAGCAGTGAGCCATATCATCAAGCTGTTGAGGAATATTTTAGCATAACGGAGAAGCAGACAAATCATCCAAAAGAGACTGGTCATTAACCTGGCGAGCGTTGACATTCAGACATTTACGATTCCATTACAGGAAAAAAAAGGAAGACAATGGAACTTTAACCCCGGAAACGCGGCGTTTAATCAAGTAGTATGGTAATAGGGAGCTTAAGCAACAGCGTTTTTGAGCGACGGACGTGAACCGGAAGTGGACTTTTTGCATCATTGGGGAGTGGTTTCGTTGAAACTCTCGGGTAAATCGCCTTTCAGCAATACAAGTTTGTTAGTGTCAAGGCATATAAAAAGGGAGAAGGCCTCACTTCCGGTTGACGTGCGTCGCTCAAATACGTCTTTGCTGATATTCGTTCTTGGCAGTGTTGTGTGACATAAAAAACAGCCTCGTGACATTTGTGAAACCGACAGAGCGGAAGTGTTACTAGCTTTTTTAATCCCCCGTCGAGACCGAAAGGAAGTTTAGTTTTCGCTCTGATTGCGTAATTATCAACCAAATTGACAATCTATTCTTCACAGCAATTCGTTTCAAGATTTCTAATGGAATTAGCCAAGAATCATAGTGAAACTGGTAACGCAAGGTAAGTCTCGAAAATGTGAAAAATATGTGTTGTCTAGTTAAATTGATACCATTGCATTGCCTTTGAACCGAAGATATCACAGACAGCCTTTCTCTGTCTAAACGATCGTTAACACGAGGCGAGTAATAAAGTAAAGACGATATTTCGGTCGGAATTTGTAGGGTACGCTTGCCTGTTAGGCCTTTTTCAAATCCGTGCAGATCAGCTGAGAATTGAAGCCCAATGTAGGAACTTTACCTCAACCAAAAATGAAAACAAATTATCCCAAATAGCATACAATGACGTTAAATGGAATGAAAATAAAGCTCTCTGGAGTAAAAATATCAAGAGCTTATAGGAACAGATAGGAATACGAGAACTCTGGATGAAATTAAAGCGCACTATGAGGACATATACGGACATGACCAGGCAACGACTTAAGGATATCGAACTACAAAGATGGCTAAGTGAAATAAATAACCACACTAGAAAAGATGCTAAACAAAGCAACAAAATGAGAACCTACCGGTTATTTAAAACGATAGACAATTACAAATGTGAAGATTACCTATATCAGGTCACCAATACGCAACACAGAATAGCTCTAACTCTCTAACAAAACTGCGACTTAGCCATAGAGACAGGACGTTATTCGAGACCGTTTAAGAAACCCGCAGAAAGAATTTGCCCAATTTGTAAAATAGAAATGGAGGACGAATACCATTTTCTAAATGTATGCCCTGCTTACCAGGAAAAACGATGTTCGTTACTAGATTATTTGGAAAAAGGAATATAGAATAAAAATAAGCAGAATGTCACCTTAACAAAATATACCCCCTAGCGGAAAATGCTAAAATACAAAAACTATTAGCAAAACATATATTCGAATGCTTTGAAAAAAGGAAAGGGAAAGACGGCAAAAAGTAAATACTCTAGGACTTAATTAATTAATAACTTATTAGCCATATATGGTTAGGAATTTTTTGTTGTTTGTAATGTTAGTTATTTGGAAATAGTTGATATACTATTTATTGTATAAGACTCTGAATAAATAAAACATGTACGTATCGATGTATGTATGTATGTATGTGTGTATGTATGTATGTATGTATGCATGTATGGGCTGGCTCGACTGCAGCACAACTGTAACTTGGGCAGTGACTTGGTTTCTGACGTCGAATTTAATTTAGTTGAATTATATAGCTGTTGTCGAAAACAAGGCATATACTTATTCTAATGCGTATTATATATGAATTGAGTTCGGCACGGTAGTAGTACGAAGTTTGAAACCCACCAGCGGGTGCGGGGGGGGGGTTGGCGTTTGGGGTACTCCTGGGAATTCTTGGTGGGGGTAGGGGTATGCTGCCCGGTTCTCCAAATCCTGACCCTATTTAAGACCAAAAACTGTCATTTTCCACACCCGTTTTCAGACCAGTAATCAGCGCGGAAAAGTTATTGAGAGCTCGCCCGCTTCCAAACATCCTCGGAGACCCAGGAGCAAGTCAGTCGGGCCGGGTTAAAAGGCGCGACGAAAGTTTTCAAGCTTGGGCGGAAGAGCCCCTGGGTACCGACTCTCGCCGGACCATTTCCAAACGGTCAAGCGAATGCTTCCTCCTGATTGGGCACATAAAATGCTTTGTATTATTGTGCTCAATCGGCGAACAGCATCTCCTGAGTTCTTTTCGTGAGTTCGTACACGACGGCTTTTGACTCGATCGCGGCTTGTCTGGCTCATGCACCAAAGAAATGCACAGCTATGCACGCAGTCAGGAGTCTTTCAGTTTGATATAAACGCTACATTTCAAAATACTGGTAGTCTTTACACTAGAGCCTAAATAAGCTAACAAATATTTCAAGACAAGTAAATTTTAAATTCTTCAAGTAAAAGAAAGCTGCACACATAACCTATCTTTTTTACTTCAGCTGAAGTGCTTGAAAACTTTTGTCGCGCCTTTTCTCCCGGCCCGACTGACCGCCCCTGGGTCTCCGAGGATGGCTTCCGAAAGCTCCGCCCCAAGTGAGACAAAATGTCTCACTTCTCCACGTTTGTCTAGGCCTCAAAAACTTTCTCGGACCACGAGACCCGAAACGCATCGGCCGCACATAATTTAATCAGGCCTAGGGACTAGGCAACATCATGCCAAGAATTGAAAACTCTAAAAAGAAAATTGCCGGGGTGTGGAATGGTATTCGGGCGAGAGAGGAAGTTCACGGAGAAGAGATTGTGTAGCATTTCTTGATTTTTTTGCAAAGGCACAAGAAGCATGAGAATTGATTAAAAATCGTGAGTAAACCTATTTGTATCACGCGATCGCCTGTCTCACCGTATCAAAATTATCATATCTCGGTGAGAATTCGGAAGTCAGCCAAGCGCGGTCATTGCACGCGTGCTGAAGAAGAATGCTCTATCATGACAGACTAGAAACAATAGAAACCTCCCAAAGCACAAACTTAGCCAAAACGCTAAAAATCTTCAATGTTTACTCAAGTTTTGGCTTATAGAAGATAATGTCACAGTTTTTCAATGACCATGAAATTCAGAATCCGGGTAATTAGTTAATCAATTGTGGCCCTGAAAAAATTTGAAGGAAAAAAAACCACGAGTTTTTAAGAAAATGCTTTTTTCGTGAGAAGGACTCTTTAACGCTAACAAACGTCAACAAATTGCTAAAACTATAATTTCTATATGTTTGCATTGCTCCAAATCGCGCGCATTTACAAGGCCCTAAATCTTTTAGACTTGCAAGGACCCATCTGTTATAAAGATCCTAAAAATAAAGGGATAAATCTCATAGTTAACTAGATATAATCGTGTAAAGTTTGCTTATCATTTTCACATAAATAATGACCTAAAATTGGAAACCGCTGAATTTCTCGCATGGGTCTTTGCGATTTTGGTGAAACTCTGTTCAACGTAAGGCACTAATGCAAACTATATGTAGCAGAGAGATTTTCACGAAAATAATGCCGGCAAGAGTAGAATTTCGACTCAGACCCCAAAGAGGCGTGGTACTATAATCACGTGACATTTACTCCGATCGCCAAAAATTTTATGTTATATTGTAGATTGATCTATATGTTATCCATGCTATATGTTGGACTTACGATCAAATTAAAGGTTGGGATACCAGAGAGCTTCAAAGTAGGATAGTACCCTCTCAAAATAACTGGGTCGCGTCACCTTAAACGAACGAAACTGTGGTCAGCTTTTATTATCAGGATTATGGGCTCCTCATCCTCCTTCCCATCGTCCCCCCCCCCGCGCTTTCTTTTTCTTTCTCCCCTGCCCTCCCTACAATACAAAAAGACGCCTCTGCGGAGGAGAGATTTATTCCCCCCAAAAGAGAGAAAGAGTGTCTAGTAAATTGTTTCCACTGATGAAAGATTTGTGAACTCGTGTCTGGCAAACTCGCCAAGTGTTTATATATACACAGTTATACGCACCTGATAACTTCATCTGCGCTGAACGAGTATCTTTTGGTTAATATTTTCCTGTTCCACAGATTGTTACTGATGACACGCAAAAGAGTATCGAAAGTATGACTGTACAATAAATGTCACAAAATCTACCTGAGCGGTCCCTTCAGGATTTTCTGTTTTACGTCATTCTAATCATTCTAACTCTTACTTGCGGGCGTGAACAAGAGAAACGTCATCATTACCCAACGATTGCATGCCGCCCCTGTTTAAGCAAATCGCATACATTATTGCATAGTGACGGTATATTTCAACTGTAAGTACGGCGAAATGCCTATGGGGGCACCAAAGTGAATCTGCCATAAAAAATCGATTCCTCTAAACAGGATTTCCTTTCTGTAAGTCTTTCATGCCTTTTTTTATCGACGGTCGAGTAATCTTCAGGGTATTTACTTTTTAAATCGTTTTCGGCAAAACGTGATCAACTTGGCGTGTCACTTCAATCATCGCCAAAAATAAACTGCATGCTCATCACAAGACTCATTTGCATAAAATGAATGTTTACCCAGCCGCACCATCGACGTTTTGCTCATTTAACATCCACATCTACATTAATTTTCGTTTGTAAGGTCGTTAGACATCACACCAACGTTAAATGACAATAATAATAATAAAAGTTATGTCTACTCGAGCGTGAAATGAAAGAATAAGAAAAATAAATAAAAATAAAAATGGCTGAAATACCTAGATTATTCTGTACAATACTTGGAAATCTTAGTCTTAAACGTCCGTAAAGAATATACTTTCAACAATGTCTTTCGGTAGTTTGCTCTACATCCTGAGGGTTCGTGGAAAAAAGGAATAAAAATACACATCCTCTGTGGCATTTACGTTTAAAAATTTATAGTTATGACAAAAACAGCTTGACTTGAAGTGTAGCGAAGAAAAAAAGCCCGGAGGGGGGACTCTGCATATGAAAAGGGTGGGGATGCTTGTCGTCTAGCTCTCTTAGGGGTGTAAATTTCGGATTTTGCTCTCACTTAGGGTGTTCTGGGCAAAACGCCTTCATATTTAGCCGTGAAGGTCTCATTTAGGGTTACACGTGAAAAAGTATAAAAATATCTATATTGTCTATGTTTTAACATGGTCACTTTTAGGGGTCAAAAAAAGCTTGGGCCACGCCCAGATCGGTCTCCTTTACGGGTTTAATTCAAAATTTCCGACGAGCATCCCCACCTCTTTCATTTGCGGAGTCCCCCCCGGGAAAAAAAGGACCCAAAGGAAAATGTTTTACACATAAAACATCATCAACATACACTGATCCCATGAGAATACGGCTAAACTAAACCAGGAGGATGGGCTCCTGGGCGAAAGCATTACCATTTCTATCGCTAAAACACACAAGCCAAAACACACTTACCTCCATCGATGTCAAGTTCATCTTCGATTGTGAGTGTTTATCGGCAAGTTTCAGTGGCGAATCCAGACCTTCAGATAAGGGGGGGGGGGGGGGCGGTCATCCACTCAAAAAAACTTTTTGGCCCTTCGGATCGGGCCTCAGTTTGGTCCAAAAATAAGAAGGGTGCCCCCCCCCCCGGACCCTTCCCCTGGATCCGCCACTGAGTTTAAGGTTGTTTAGTTCCGCAGATATTCTCCAAATAGGGACTTTAAGATCCGCCACTGGGAGTTGGAAGTATACGGGTTGTTTAGTTCCGCAGATATTCTCCAAACAGAGGACGGTGAAGTCATGTGCGAAACTCGCTTGTCATTTCTTTCGCAGAAGGCTCAATTACTGAAGAAGAGTTTTTATTTTATACGAAGAATACCAATCAGAGGAATAAGGGTACAAATTAAAGCTAGCTAGTTTTCAAAACTGTAGTCGATGTTTTTATTTGAACTTTCCTTCCCTAAGCCAACACCTTTTGAGTTATAAGGAAATGTTTTCTTGATAAAAATACAGTTTTAAGTTATACAAAAAGACGACTACAATCATCACTGTTAGGCCCAGTTGAAACGTCGAACTTCTCATGTGCCGAAACTAAAGCACAAATTACTAAAATTTATTTTCACTTGTTTAAAGCATCGTGAAAATGAATCGAGTTCGACTACACTTTAAGTTCGACGCCTGAATCAACCTCGAACCATTTGGGTCGACCTAAATAGGTATTAAGTTCGGTACATGAAAAGATTAACGTTTGAACTGGGTCTTACCTTTCTTTTCGGCAATTTTCCTCTGCCATGGCGGACGACACTAGGTAGAAAACAAGCAGTCGCCATGCGACCGCGAGCTAAGTTATGAATGAACTCAGATATTTCTGATATTTTCGCTTTCTTTTTCATTTCACCGATGGGTAAATCAATGTAAACACAAGCCAACGCATATTTAACCCATTGGCTACTCAGTTTTAGAAGAAAAGTGACAATAAGTACGCATGAACTCTTATCGGTTTCACCGTTGTCTTCACGACGAGAAACCCGGCGAAAACATACCGTCCCAGAAGGACGACGGTAAAAGGTCACGCGTGTTTTGCGTGACGTGACATCTATCTAACCGTCCCAGGCGACCGTAGTCACCTATCTTAAAGTCCCTAATACCAGATGTCGTCCGTCGAGTTGTCTTCTTGCTGATCTTGCTTTGTTTTAAGCCAATAGTTTGCCTAATTCTTTCTCGTGAAACAAGCGCAATGTTCCCCCATTTTGTATTCACTACCAAAACTTCTCGACGTCATCCCGAGGTCTCCTTGGTTAACCGTTCAATAGTTTGGCAATTTTGCTGCACGATTGATGTCATCAGTTAACATATCACAAAGTTCTTCCAAATTTGGTCGACATAAAAACATCGAAGTGAAGCCGGTGCTGAATTTTAAAATGAACTGATCGACATTGTTTGCATGATCTGTATTAGAGAGTGGGCAGGACGATGGGAAATTGAGGTACATTATGGAGTACTCACCAATTATGAAAATACTCTAACTGCTTGCTTTGTGCCAATCCCATGGTTTAATTCTAAAAGCTTTTGACCCATATTTTTATTTCCCATAGCTCCGTGGTTTGCAGTCACAAAGCAGGCGCAGACGCTCCTACCCAAGATACCAAAGAAGTAAATGAGCCGTTTTGTAGAAAATTCAGCAGCTGTTTTCGTGAAATTTGGAAAAATATTTGTGATAACAGGCCACCCTTAACAGGTGCAGAAGATGAAGAGACACTATTCTGGAGAAAACGTGGAAAATGTGGTCGACAACAGCTTCTCGCCCCTTTATGCGCTCTTTTTCTAATTCTGTTTGATGTCGGGATGGACTTTAAAGTAGCTGTAACTTATTTTATGCAAGGGCATTATAACTGGGGCGCATACACAGTGGGCGTCGTGATTTTTTCCCTTGTTATAATTGAAGCCCTCTCAGCAAGCTTTTACATATCCGACCAAAGAGATCTTAACAAAACATACTATCTAAAGCAGAACTCATTGGAAGTAAAGAATTGGTTCTATTGGTTGCATTTTGTATTTTGCGGACGTATTTTGAGGTAAGCGTTCTCTTGATCGACAAGTGAAATACCAGAGGAACCCTTCTCTACGGACACCTGTATATGACGGACAGTTTCGTTTGTCCCGACGAAGAAAAAGCTCATATATTATTTGTTTCTCTAAATTTTATCTACTTAATACGGACACCCGGTAAATACGGACTCTTTGGCATGCCCCGTCGGTGTCCGTAATAACCGGATTCCACTGTATCCACTGTATGTAACAACGCGCATATTTATTAAATTTTTTGCTTAGTTTATCGCCTTAAGTATTTTTCCTCGTCACTTCAGAACGCCAGCGCGCACGTCACCGAAATCACTTGTCGTAGCGGCGTCAGAGAAAGACTGGAATTAAGACTTTAAACTTTAAATCTGGGTCTGTGGTGCGTCTAAAGAGGTTTTAACGTAGTTGGCTTCACCCTTGTAAACCACAGGGAGTCAATAAACAGAAAGTTTAGTTGCAGACTACTACTTAAATTCATACTATCTATAACTGGAATTTCCATGTGACGGTTTAGTAACCGGTTTAGTAAGACTTGTAGGTATCATTTCTTTTTATTTGATTTTCTTTGGTTTTTATCAGATGCTCTCAGATCTTCAGAACTGTTCGACGTATACGAAGAATCCAAGGTCATCATCCTGATAATCAGATTCAGCTCTATCGCTTGTACATCTCCCAGCAGCGGCAGTTGAGTATACTGGGTGTCGTAGAGGCTTTTACCGAACAGGCCCCTCAGGTAAAGAAAAAGGTGATACAGTTGCAAGAGCTTTATATTTTATTAGATCTTATTAGAGGTTCTGTAGATATTTTACAATAATATACCTTTTCTGTTTCTTTTTTAAAATCTAGATTGCTCTACAACTATATATCCTTCTAGCAAAACGCGGTTTTGATTGGACTTCAGAGGATATCGTGGTGGCAGTAAACATGGCGAAGTCTTTGGCTCTTTTTTCTTTCAGCCTACTGACTTTCATAAGATATCTCCGTCTTGGAAACGAAGAAAGCAAATTATTGGAGCTGTTTAGTTGGGCATCTTTACTTCATTTCTTCTGGCGCCTGTTTATGCTCGTTGCTAGGATACTGGCTTTAGTACTTTTTGCTTCTAGTTTTAAATACATGGTGTTTGTAATTGTCGCAATTCATTTTCTGTTTTCGTTTTTCCTTATAATTACACAGCCGGATAAATATTTCGCTGAAGGTTCAGCTCGAGATAAGCTCCTAAGGTGCGCTTTCACCTGCATTAATACATTCTGCTTTTTTCCTTTGGCCGGTAAGAATACTTGGAAATGGGCTACTCCTTACTATTTTGTAACCTTTATCGAAAATTCCATAATGGTTCTTATCTGGAACTTTTATAGCGATTTCGGTCAAGGCTTCAAGAACGTTATGTTGGTAACAGAGTGGAGCGCGTTTCTGCTTGGTTTAGTATCAGTTTTACTATATTACAAAATTTTCCATCCTTCTAAACGAAACCGGAACAACACTGAATGCAGCCGGCCAGTGGCCTGCAGGACAGTAGATGAAGAGCAGTGCGTAGTGTAGCAGCTGAAAAACGAACTTTTCCCACAATGACTCAACAAGCAGTACAACAAACATTAGATGTAGAAAATGAGGAATAAACAAGTCTGCATGAACTACTGGTACAAAACATTGTTGAAAAGAAACAAAATTATTGTTTATCATAGTCGGATGTTGTTACTTGTTTAGACTGTATACTACCTTTTATAACAGTGGTTCTCCACGATACTTCGAGATACGCCCCCCCAAACTATATATTTCTTGCTGGACATCTTCCTCCAATCCTTAACAATCTCCGTGGAAAACACGTTAAATTCACGAAAATATTATCATTTTCAAAATATTATCACTGTGTACAGAAAATACTAATGTTGTTCAATAATTCAAATTTAGCTCAAAATATTGGATAACTCCATTCAAATCAGTTTCAAGTTTACTGGTCACTCATGACGGAGCAAAGTTGTCCCGGGTCATAGGCGGGTAAAGCGAGTTATCCCTATATTTTAGCAGAGCGTTTACAAGGGGGTAACCCCCCTAGCAACAGGCCCTTAGCTTGAAGAGGATTTTTTCATCATAATTGTTGTGGTTGTCGTTTTTCGTCGAGCTTGCTTTAGCAGAGCAGACTCTAAAAATGCTAACCTGTTCACAGACGCTCAAAATCCGTCGGGCGACAAAATAAACCGCGCTGGCTTACTACCTCATCGAATACTGTATTCAGATAATCATTGGGCGTAGATATAGGGCCCAATAACTCCACGCAACAATTTTGTGTTCGTTCTACGCCGAAGTGTACTCTCCCATAGCGTCTTGTTTTATTCTAAAATGGCAATGTTTTTTTAACTCGTGGGTACGCGCGAGCGTACCACGAGTTATTGCAGGGACAGGGATATGCAAATGAGTCACTCGCTCACTCGTAGTAGACGCACTTCGTAATTCATCGGGTCCGAGCTCGAGAGCGCGAAGATCTATCATTTCCAAAGAAGCACGCGCTCGCCGAAGTTCGGTGGCATCAAATTCCTCGCTGAGAGCGTGCATCGTGCGCTACAGCACGGTTAGAGGATAGACGTCTTACCAAATTTAAGACACGCAGGAACCTTTCAGATTAGTACGATTCAAGAGCCTTTGTCTGGTCCAGGCGTTAAACTTCGCTTGGTAACGAATTTTTTTCATTCAACTTCTCTCCGCAATGTAGTAGGTTATGTGTATGAATGAATGTAAGGTAAATAAAGGCACTTCTTCTTCTTCTTCTTCTTCTTGAGGACTCCCCAAGATCACGGGGGGGAAATGGAGGTGATTTTGAGCATTAGCTTTAAAATGACAGCGGAAATCGAGATAAGAAAACATAAGCTTATGTTTTGCCTCCTACTTCGCGGGAGATCTGGGTACGAGATTAACTTCGCGGAGGAGTGTGTTGGCTTTGTATCGCATATGTTCTTTCACTGCCATGAAATGCGTTTACATTGTTTTTTACCGTCAGTAGCCTGGTTAGTCTCGCTTGCTTTAGAAAAGCGAGACTCTTAAAATGCACTCGTTTTTTTTTTGTCGGACCTAGTTTGTAGGCCCCGCGTTCCTAGCGAAGACCGTGGAAACTGGGGATAAGAATCGTGACGACTTTCATTGTATGGAAATGAGTCTTGTGATGAGAATGCAGTTTATTTCGGCGATGACTGAAATGACGCATGTAAGTTTGGCAATGACGTAATTTTCCTCGAATGGAGGCCTTGATTTTCGTGTAATTATGCACGACACGCAGGCACATCCCCGAGCAGGATGAGAAAATATTATAGCGGGGAAATCCACAGGATTTTGTGGCTTTTTAAGGCGTTACGTTTCTCAGAATATTGTCGCAATTACAGGAAATGTACGGTTAAATAGATTCACTTTGCTTTATGTATTTAATCGACGATGTGAAGTCGTGTTGCACTTCATAAATACTTGAGATATGAAGTATCCACTGTCACGTAATTTTTACGTGCGCACGTGCGTAAAATTTGCGTTCGCAAATAAAATAAAGGCAATGTATGAAAGGCTGCACGTACAATTATGTAAGCGTAAAAGTAGAAACTCGCTTAATTTGACTTTTAATCTCAATACTTTATGTCTTACCTCTATTTGATTTACGTGATTAAAATTTACGTGCGTTAACGTGCGGAACCCAAAAACGCATCAGTGGAAATCCACCCTAACGTGTCACGGGTAGCTTTGAACTTGACTAACCGCACACTCTACTTGCAGCACTTCATGTCCATAGTTAATAGACGGGGGGTGACAGCTCTAACAAGGGCTGTTTCGGGAGAAAAACAAATTTATTCCGGGAATCTGGAGATTTTGCCGGGAATCGGGAAACCTGGGAAATTTTTCGGGAAATATGAGATATTTTCGGGACATTGAACAAAGATTTGATATTACATGTTATCAAACAATATGTATACAGTGACATGCACCCTGTGCCGATACGCTGTATTCTATGTATTTTGACACTTGAAAACGGCTTAACTCCCCATGATATGAAAAGACCAATCAGAAACGTTTCCAACTAAAATAGCATGAAGTTCGAGTGCGATTGACCACATGCAATCCCCAGCGGATTGACACAAGAACCGTACCGGTGCAAGGCAGATACTATCAATTCACACCAGATCCCATCATACATTAGTTCAGGGGTATTTTTAAGCTGCATGTTAATAATGAGTTTTAAGAGCACATTCCACTGATTGCATACTGGAAAACTTGAAAAAGTACGTTAGAAGTACGTAAGAAAAAAACGAAACTCATTTAACTTTGTTAAACGGACATGAGGCCATAAAAAGTAGTATGTCTGTGAAGACTCTTTAATCATCCTGATCTCGTTGGGGACCTTCCGATTTTGCTCGAAAATCCCGAATCCCGATCGATATGTGTTCGGGATAGGAAAATTCCAGATTTCGACAGTTGTTCTGAAATTTTCAAATGAATTCTTATGATACTCATACAATGACACCACACAGAGTATACTTAGCTGAAAGTGATTTCCAGAGCAATTTCAAAAACCGCACAACTTGTATAAAATATATCGACTACTTCTACGCGAGGTAACGCAAATAAAAATAAGCATAAAAAGGACAATTGATTTAGAGAACATTTTGGACAGAATTTGTCCTCTCAGAACACTAGAAATGGCGTTTCAGAGCACCAAGATTTCAAAATTTCGGCTGGGGGAGCATGCCCCCAGACCCTCCTAGTGGTTGGCCCCTTCAGCGCTCGCCTGATTCGTCGGTGATTAAAAAACAAAAAAACACGATTTTATATACTTAAAAAGTTTGTCAGCCTTTCTGAGTTAACACGATACCCTTTAACGAAAAAATAACTAAGTTTAGATAATTAACAAGTTACATAATTAACAAGAAGCTGCTAATCAAAATTTTAATTTTAATTGTTAAAACAATTTTGGGAAGTTAAACATTTATGGGGAATGCCACCGAAAAAATCGGGAGGGTCGACGAAATTTCCGGGAGGACATAAAGTTATTCATAGGACTGCCCAAACAGCCTTTGTTAGAGTTGTCACCCCCCGTGTTAATAGAAATCCCTTATCGAGCTTTTCCGGAATGGGTTGGTCCAAGAATTCTATGGCTTGAAAGCGTTGATTATTTTGGAACAACTGATCACTTCAGTGGTCGAAAAAAAAAAAGAATAATATTAATGAGCAAAACTTCAAGGTTTACTGGAAAATGAAGATCGAGGATCGAGGATCGAGGATCGAGAAATCAGGGATCAACAAAAAAGGAGTATAACGTATAGAGTATAAGGAGTATAACGGCACCGGGGCCTTTGACATTAAAACTCATCTCCAAGCAAGCGAGACTCAACGCTACTAAGAGCTAGCCTGAATTTCATCCGATTACTTCGAGTCGTTATTACTCCCTCAGTAACGTCTGAATCGACCGGCCGTTAATGCCGTCCAGTGACGTCACTACTCTTCGACCTTTGTTTTAATTCATGCAAAAAGTAAAACACGATTTTCGCGTGGCAAACCGGCAAATATCGTTTGGAAATGTCTGCATGATACAGAACTGCTTTATTTTTTTCGATAGTAATTCATGTTTAACGTTCAAACGATCAACTGCATGCAGTACAACTCTAAACCGGTGGTACTAAATTCTATAATAATCAAACTCGCAATCACGCAATGAAATAAACACACACACGGAACACTTAGTTCAAAAACACAATGATTTGAAGACGATTCTTGGACTTAATTAAACTATGTTAGAGTTTTCTAAAAAGTTATTTGCGGATCCAATAAGTTTCTTTGGATTTGCGATACTTTTTTAGATTTACCAGACTCTTCAAGAATGATTTGTACAAAAATCGGGATTTGAAATAATTTTATGGATTTGCAAAATATTTTCGGATTATTGAGAAAGTTATTTGCGGATCCACAAATTTTCTTAGGATTTGCAATAGTTTTTTAGATTTGTCAAACTTTTCGACAGTGATTTGAGAAAAACATTGCGATTTAAAATATTTTTTTGGATTTGCAAAATATTTTTGGATTGTCCCTCCTCGGCTTCCGTATTATTTGTATTTGTAAACAAAAAACTTTTCCACTGTTTTTATCGATAAATTCAAGTCAAAAAGACAAAGCTTAACCTGTTAAAACTTCCAATCCGAACCTCGTCACCTTCTTCACGTATTTTGGGAATAGCTTGATTGATCAGTTGTGAAATTTCTTAGTTTGTTACGGCAGCAAACCGGGAAGGCATTTTGCTTGCAACTTACGCGAGTTTGGCGTCGGTCGCTCGGAGGAAGTGGAGGTGAATCAGTGAATAGTATTGTGTTTCCAGAACAAGGAGAGTATATTCATAATCTGAATTTCTATCATTTCCTAAAATTTACTGTGGGAAAACCAGAGGTGATAACTAATTGATTATTTTTTAAATAGATTACGAGTAGCCCCCCATTTTTCCTCAGGGATAGTAGAGCGAGAGAAACGCGTTTCACGCGCGCTCGCGTTTCGCTCGCTCTACTATCCCTGAGGAAAAATGGGGGACTACTCGTAGTCTATTTCTAAACAACGTACCCACGAGTTGACGATAGTCTTTCTTTGATAGTTGTTTTCATAGTAAGTATTGTTGTTGTCATATTATATATCATATTATATAACCTATATAGGTTTTTTAAGTACAATATTTGTATTTTTAGTTAATAGCACTAGTTAGAGATGCAGGCGAAGAGCCACATAGAAATATTCAGAAAACATGATTGATGGAAGGCCTCCCTGCGTTTTTACGCTTTTTCCTGGCACGGATTTCGCATAATTCGCCATGACGGTGCAGCTGAAATTTCAGACGGACAGAAAAAGTTGACTCTAATCTTTTAGGGCTAGGCATTGTCGCACGTCGGATAGTTCTCAAGGAGAGTGGTGCGTGCCAACATGCTTCAAAATAGCCAGGAATCTTCTGAATAATACCGAGAGGAAATCAGAGGCGCGCATTTCCCGGCCTTTCCCAGTGACATAAACAGACCACTGGTTTTTCACATACAGACTTTCTTATCTTACCTGCTATGAGATTTTTATTTTTAGCGTGAATTTTGCCGACATGACCATGACTCAATCGATGTTACAATCGATGTCATATGTGACAATTATGTGACATACCCATAGTTCCTTGCATTCGTCCCCAGTCCTTGTGTCTTATTTCAGGGACGTGCGGACGTGCAGCGTGGCACGAGAAGGGATTTAGTGTCCACGAAGCCAACATCGTCGGAACTTGCTGCTGTCTTTTGTACTTCCAAAAACCATGGTAAGTTATAATTAACACGACTTGTTAGGTCATCTGTTTTGTTGCTCACCCGGGAGCATAGTTTGCAAGTTTCGCTGCATTTTAAAATTTGGCCGAGAAAAGTTAACTCGGTCGTGAAAATGGCTCGATCAACTCTTTCGAATATTAAGCTTACAGCTCAACTTAATTTTCACTATCCAGACCCAAGCTTTCGTATATGACAAAGCAGTGACTTGTTTCGTTATTTGGAGTTAGAAAATCGTTCTTTGTATGATTCGTTAAATGAAAGAAGAAATGCAAACGTGCCGAAAAGAACTGTGCTGCCATGCACGAAGGGCATTATCTTTTCGGGTGGTAGTGGGAGGGGGTTGGGGCGGGGGCTTGGAGGAGAAGGGTGTACACCCCGAAACTCTTTATTATTTAACAAAAAAGCTCCACTTTTGATGTAATTTTGGACCATTAGTTTTATCACAATGCTAAACACTTTTCTTGGTTTTCAAGTTTGTCAAAACAAATTTACCGGTAGGTTACCTCTATTTTTTAATGTGTCTTGTCTCACAATGTCGTCACTTGTGATGAGAATCACAAAGTCAGATGGTTAAGCCTAACCTTGTAAGGCAAGATGTTCTGCTGTGATTGATTACTATTTTACCGTTGTGATCGACTGCTCTATTTCAATCGTTGCTGTTCCAGTTTGATGGTCAATACTTCCCAAAATGTGGCAGTCGAACCCTTGAGCACCTTTGAGCACATGCCTCCCATCAATGTGACCTGGGTTCCCGTTGTTGAAGCCATATGTGGGTTGAGTTGTTGTTGGTTTGCTCCCTTGCTCTGAGAGGTTTTTCTCCATGTACTAGTGGTGTGTCGATCATCAATGATATAAGTGATCGTTGATCGAAAATCTTTAAGTGATGCGACAACCAATTATAGATGATGCAGGGGTTTCCTTAAGCATCGGAGATTGGAGAATTCTCTGTCCACTACACATAATTCTCCAGCTAAATTTCAATGAAATATAGTTATTTCATTCAGACAAATCACATGTGGATAAGTTATGTAAGAATAAATGATTTCCAGAAATGCGTAATTTTAATCACCCCCTTTACATGCCTAAATAAATAGCAAATGTATAAAAAGACCTTATTTAGATTCAAGCAGTTTTAATCCCAACAAAACTAACAGGGGACGTAAAAAATATAAGACGGTTTGCTGAAGTGTGGAGAGGTGATTGTATGCTCGATGCTTTTTTATTTGCAGGTGAAAAATTATAAAACAAATACTAATGGCGGCAAAACCGGAAACAAAATAAAGTACATGATGAACAAATTCTAGTGGCAAAGTTACGACAAGAAAAGTTTAAACGATAAGAATCAAATTCCTTTACGAATAAAAAGAACGACTTCTTGGTGAACTGCTATGGAAATAAATTTGGCGATATTTCCCATACATAAATGAGAGATTATCAAATTACTATGAAGCAAATGCAAATTTTGAGATTTTTGTATCGTAACGATGACTTCTAAAACGGCACATAAATTGTAACTGCAAGGAAACCAAAGAAAAGATATTCATCGATATTTGACAAATCGTCTATTAAACTGGACACGCAAAGTTTTGCGCCGAGAGCTAATTTGTTTAAATGTGTTCCGTTTAACACGAGCACATGTCACTGAGAGAGGCGGGGAAAGTTTTTTACGTCTCGTGCTTTCACTAGTGAAAACATCTTTAAAATATTGTTGTATTGAAGTTAAAGCATATTGAGAATTCTTTTATTTTCACTCTTTGGTATGTTTGGTATTTAATAAGATAGAGCCACATGTCACAAATCTCGGAGTGTGTAACAGGGCTGGAAGTTGATCATAATTTAACAATATGCCTGCTAATTCGAAGAAAAAATGTTTTGAAACCTTGTGGGGTAGAGGTATGCAGTGTTTTTTGTTCCCTGAACCAGCTACAAGAAATAAAAATAATTTTTGGGCGTTAATGGCACACGCTTATTTTATCTGATGCAAGAGGTCACACTTTGCCCCTTTTTTGTGTCGTTTGACTAGAAAAAAATAAAGTGATATGATGACCTGCAATGACTAGAATGCTATAGACTCTCCTTGTTTATGACGTGAATCATACAGTATTCTGTATCTGGCCTTCAGAATCATTGCTTTTCTTACTCACAGACAAAACAGCCACAATATGACTGCATAGTGTCTTAGTTTCTTTAGAAACTGTAAACACAATTAATATATCAGCTGTTTCTATGTTTTAGGCAAAACCTTTGCGTGTGTGTATCACTGGAGCTGCTGGCCAGATTGCTTACTCTCTTCTTACATCTGTTTGTAAAGGAGATGTATTTGGACCCACTCAGGTAATTAGCAGGGCTCGAAATGAAAAAGTTTGTATTTTGGCAACCAACTGGAGAAATTTAGTTGCCGGATGCAAATTTTTAGTTGCCAGTTTTTCAAAAAAGTGCCCAATGTTGAATATTTGTGCCTAAACTGTGCCCAAACTGTGCCTAAAATGTGCCTTAGCAATCTTTAAAACATGCCTTAACTGTGCCCAAAGTCTGCCTAGTCTGTGCCTTTGCATGTTTTTTTCCCTTGCTTTGGCACGAAAACCATGCCTTTTCTTGAGCGCAAATAGTGCATAAGGCATGGTGTTATGCCCGTGTACACCAGTAGTGTGCGCCAAGCCATGAGCCGTACATTGTGATCATTGCAGTGGTAATTGCAATTTGAGCGATTGCAAATTGACCCCCTCCCCCCCCCCCAAAAAATGGGGGGACTTCAACAGAATTCAAGCTCATGGCCTCTGCATTAGTGCAGAGGCCATGGGTTCAAATGTTCAAATCCTGTTAAAGTGCCCAAATTTTTTTTTTTTTTTGGGGGGGGGGGTTCAGTTGCAATTGCTTAAATTTGCAATTACCACTGCAACGATCACATCTTCATGTAAAATTTGTATGTTCGCATGAGTTCACATCATCTTCATTGAGCCATACATTCTTTGCAAACTTTTGAGTTTTTAAAAGACAATTTCTCCAAAACCATTTGGTATACCTGGCTTAAATTTTCAAAGATAACTGAACTTGTTATGATCTTTCAATGTTCAGAGATTTTATTTTATTAGCTTTGTCTGATAACAACAAGCATATGTTAATGAGGCAAAAATTGTAAACAAAGATTCATATCTATAACCAAAAGAATAATTATTTGGGGTTGGTTGAAAATGCATGGTCGTATGGGACACATTCACACTACACATTGTAAGTACGAAAATACAAAACTGGCTTTGTTTATGTGATTTCGCATTTTTTTTGACGATTGCAAAGCAAGATAAGATGAAATGTTTGTCCCAACTCTACTCTCTTAATTTAAATCTTAATCATAGAGAAATCTGGTTGCCAAAGTGGCAACTAAACCTATTTTTTTAGTCGCCAACAAGAAACTGTTAGTTGCACTAGGAACCGTATCAGTCACAATTCCGAGCCCTGATTAGTTTTTCTTTTCGAAAAATCAGGAACCTTTTCAAGTCTTTGTTTAGGACAGACAATAATATTGTATATAATGCACTTATTCTTCTAGCCATTGGTCCTGACATTGTTGGATATTGAACCAATGATGACTGCCCTAGATGGTGTGGTTATGGAGCTGCAGGATTGTGCCTTTCCTTTGTTACAAGGTACTTTATTGTGTTACTTATCTCTTGTCAAAGAACCAGCCAGAATTTAAACCAAAATACAATCATGGAACTTGTTCCATGCTTTGAAAATTCATTCATTTTGTGCCAGTCTTCTATCCTTATTCACCATCACTACACTCAGCTGAATAGAAAAATTTCTGTTACGACTATGAACATGCAGACAAGACAACACAATAAAATTATACATTGAGAGTAATGTAGTTTATTATAAGAGTTAAAGTTACAACAAAAGCACCAAAGTAAAGGATGTATATAAAGAAACTGGTATATTAGCACTAAGCAAGGCTGGATGTAAGTACATAAGAGGTAAGAAAATTTTCTAAAGAAACAATTTACTAAGTGAATGGAGTGAGACAGCTAAGAGCAATGCAATAGTACAAGACAGTAGAAACTTAGGTATTACAGATAATTATAAGCCTTTGTTACATGAAAACAAAAAAAGCAGCCTCAAGTAAATTGGTCAGTGTCAAGTGGTGTGAATTTCGCATGTGGTGGCTTATTAAGGGTCTTTGGTCCCAGTGGGAATTAACTTATAAATATAACTAAACAATCAATCAACAACTTAAAGAAATCCATTAGCTTGCTTCTTGCTGTTAGGGTTGTTTCTGCCTGCTTCAATAGTTTGCGTGGCATTAACCCATTCGCCCCTGAACCGCCCATAACTGCCTGTGCAGATCCATGTCCTTTCTACCCTTTGTGACGTCATCAGTTTTAACAGTCGAGGACAACTTTCTTCGCTAACTTGTCTAGAGTGAAGAGATCTTTCAAACCATACAAGAATGAGCACGATTCAGTCAAGGATACCGGAGAAAGAAGCAAAAAACCACGTGACATTGACCTGAAAATCTCCATGAAAATCTTGTTTCCTTGCTCACCTACCTTTCCTTTCACGTAATCGTAAGATCCTAAAAGCTTTCCTAAAAACTCTTCCCACCAAAATGAAGCCTACTAAATGCTCAGCAAGAGGAAAAAAAAATGAGGCAAGAAAAGCGAAAAAAGAAGGGAGGAGAGAAAGCGAAAAGTAAAAGTCAAGACTGCTGTGTCACTTTTAAACCCCAAAACTCGAAATTTTGCTTTCTGCGCATGCCCGAACTTCGCAAGCTGATATTTTGCATCTGGATCAGAAGGCCACGAAGTGTATGACCTGTAAACCAGTTTCTGGTAAGTTTTAGCTCTTTATAGCACGACAGTGACCAGAAAACCACTCGACTAGCTTCAAAACGCGTTTTTCGGCAAAATCTCCAGGAGCGAATGGGTTAAGCTGGCCGCCTTGCAAGCCAACCATCTTTGCTTGGCTTGCTCGTTGGCAATAATTTGGGCAAAGCAAATGGAACCCCATAGCTAAAAAAATTTGGTGATCTGTCCATCCAAGAAATTTTGGTAGTGATGTAGTCATGTGACCATACGCCCGTCTGTCGGCATCACAGGCATACCAATGTAAAATAGCTTCAACAGGTATTGCAACCCAAATGCATTTCGTGTTTTTTTTGGCAGGAAATCGCATGGCCACCTGCGTCTTGTGAAGCAGAGACAATTAAAGAGAAATATAAAGACATAACAGAAAGCGGAGATCATTTCTGTATCTATCTAAAGTATTAACCCTTTAAGCCCTAAGAGTGATCAACATCATATTTCTGTGAAAGGTTTGAACCCAGGAGTCATATTTCTCCTTGTATTTATCAATGCTCCTTGTATTTCTCCTTGTATTTATCAATGCTTGGTAAACAGAGTGGTCATAGGTGTAGACAAATTTGAACTGTATTTTATTCCAAGGATTGTCAGGCTCGATTCCTAAAGGTTACAACACTCCGAAGGGTCCAACTTCTAAAGGATTACACAGGATTCCATAGATTCAATTCACTAAAGGTTCACAGATCGTGAAGATGGCTACAAGAATGCAACACGTTTTTGTTCGGATCTCTCCCAGAAGGCCTAGCGCGCTCCTAAACTCTTACATCATCGCGCACACTCCCCCCCGTAGACAGGGGCGGATCTAGGGGGAGGGTGCAGGGGGTGCGCACCCTCTCCTGAGATAACCTGCGGTTTTCTCATACAACTGGTATTCTGCAAAAAAAAAATGATGTGGTTTATTGGTGTTGAAGTAGAGCAAGAGACTAGTGCACCCCCTCCTAAAAAAAATCCTGGATCTGTCCCTGGTGGACCATGAAGAATGGTCCACCTTCTATACCTAGAATCAAATATCGAAAAGAAATAAAAAATGATGATGATAACTCAGTGAATATAGTTTCTCTCTCAAAAAAACTGTTCAATGTTCAGAATACATAAACAAACTTAATGTTCGTCTTGTAATTCAGCAATCCACTGTCTTCTTCTTCGCTCTCCCTCGACTGCAGCTCTACGCCGCTCTCGATTTCCTCTCGCTCGACCTTGCGTTGGCTGTTCCGGTGATTCAGGTACTTGTTCCTGACGAGCTGCTTCATTAATTTTGTAGAACAGCTTACTTCCAGTGGGTACAACAATTGTAGCAGTCTCCTGAAGAGTCCACCTCCACTTGATCCTCTCCCTTGGACTCTGACCTCAGCACCTCTACTCTGCCCATCCTTGCTCATCAGAAGCCGTTCCACCTTGCCCATCTTCCAATAACACCTTGGGTGGGTTTCGTCATGAACCAATACCAGATCTCCGACAGACACTACCCTTGATCCTGCCGTCGTCTTCAATTGGTTATGAGCATTTTGTAATTCAAGAAGGTATTCTGCTCTCCAACGCTTCCAAAAATGAGTCAGAATCATATCAAGGTGTCTTGCTCTTCTGCTCAGGTCGTTCAGCGAAATTCTAAAGTCTGCATCTGCAGGACTGTCTATTTCAGGAAGGGCGCCGAGTCTTCGACCAACAATGAGGTGGGACGGTGTGAGGGGTTCTTCCAAGTCCTCAGAAGAGACATATGAAATGAGTCGGCAATTTAAGATCATTTCAGCTTCTGTAACAACAGTTACAAGTTCATCATAGGAAAGTTTGACTCGGCCGATTGTCTTCAAGAGACATCTCTTCAGTGACTTGACAAGTCGTTCGTAAAAGCCTCCCCACCATGGGGCTTTCTCTAAGTTGTAGGATCATTATTTTGATCTTCTCTTGGGCAAAGTACTTAACAACACTGGGATCATTTGTAATCTTCTCTAGCTCCTTAGAAGCACTCTTGCAGGTTTTGGCATCGTCTGATACTACTAAAGAAGGCCTTGAACGACGAGCTACAAATCTTCTAAAGCACCTCAGAAATGCCTCTGAAGTCATATTGGGCACAACCTCGAAGTGGACCTCCCTCGTAGAACAACAAGTAAACAAACAAATCCAGACCTTACGTTCTTCGTCACTGGTAGACTTCACAAAAAGAGGTCCAACATAATCCAACCAATGTACGAGAATGCAGGCGCCTCTTTCACTCTGTAGCTAGGCAGGGGTGGAGCTTGTGGAACCTTATACGTTTCCCTTCAAACTTCTTACAAACTGTGCATCTAAACAACAAACTTCTGATAAAGTATCGGCCTCGAACAATCCAAAAGTTCGATCTCAACTCGGTGAGTGTTTCCTTAACTCCTCCATGCATGACTCTTTCGTGACATCTCCAGACTACAAGTGTAGTTAAGTGGTGGCTAGCGTCAAGCAAGATTGGATACTTCGCAGAATCTGTAAGCTCGCTGTTCCCGAGTCTACCTTGACATCGAATAACTCCCTTATCATCCTCAAACAACGCTAGCTGGTGCAACCTCATCTTAAACTTCTCCTTACTCTTCATCTCTTGTTGTACTTCCTTGATCCATAGAAGTTCGGCTTCTTCTATGTCTGCACCGGGCACACGTATCTTCGGCTTCTGATTCACATCTCCTTGTCGCTGTGCCTTTAATAGCTTAATAAACTTCAGAACTAAGGCTGTAACTCGCAAAAGACGTCCAAGATTACTGAAGGCTTCACTTTGAATGATATTACACAGCATAGTAGGTTGACTGTTCACTGCAAGAGCAGTCGTTACTGTCTTCCAATCCTTCACCCTCATTTCTACAAGGCAGGCTTCAGGGACTGGCTCTTCCGCAATCTCCTTCCGATTCTCCAGGCCTTCGAAACTAGTCAGCCACTTGGGACCATTGGGCGATTCCAGAAAATATCCATACCATACCACGGACGGCTTTAAGGATTTCCGAAGGGGAGGGGAGATTCACGATTATGGAATTCTGAAGGCATGGGGGGGTATTTACGATTTGAAATCCGAAGGTATGGGGGAATTCCACAGGTGGGATTTCTGGAGTAGAAAGTGTAGAGTAAGTTCCTGGAAAACGCTATTGTTGTGGACTTTTGTAGTTCGTAAATAAACCACGAACGTATGACCGCGGAAGCAGAAGACAAGCATCGATAGATCAGACACGTGTTTACGCTCATAACTTGTAGAAGTGAACAGTAAAACGTTGGTTTCACATTTACCTTGATGAATTACTTGTCACGTGAATAAAAACTGAAAATGTATCTTTTAATACCGCTCGCAAATTTCTTGTTACTCCCGTCCGAAACCGTCCGATAAACAGTAAAAAACTCGCACCAGTCCCTCACTTCCAAGGAACGCCTGTCAGATTAGAACGCTTTTCAATGCGCACTACATGACGTATAAAAGGACGCAAACACGACTCGGCGGTATATTTGACCGCCAAAAGATTTTAACAGTCTGTTTGAGCTATTTTCCTTAAAAACGCGTCAAAACAGCACAAGAAAACAAAGAGGAGTAAAATTACCTTAAGTGGTGTTTATTTTTATAGCCAAATTCGGACTTAAAAAGGAGTTTGCACGGCCTGCCAACTAGCGTAGGTTTTTCTTGTCACTGAAGAGTAAAAGCTTGACCTGGCGCCGCTAGATCACAGCCTTGAGGAGGCATAAATTCATGTTCGTTTGTTCTTATAGGCATTGCTAAGTCGAAAATGTACTTCCAAAAAAAACCGGAAATTCTGAAGGGGAGGGGGGGTTCACGACTATGGAATTCTGAGGGCATGGGGGGGTAGCGCATTTTGGAATTTCCGAAGGCAAGGGGGGGTTAAAACATGGAAGCCGTCCGTGGTTGGGTATGGATATTTTCTGGAATTGCCCATTCCACCATAGCACACTGGTCTCCAACTCACGACAGTCCATACCCCTAGAGAGTAAGTCGGCTGGGTTGTCAGCCCCTGGACAATGATTCCAGCATTCTTCAGGTACAAGCTTTCTTATCTCGTCAGCACGGTGCTGAACAAATGGTTTCCACTCCTTCTGGCTCTGGACAATCCAATACCAGGCTATCTTGGAATCTGTCCAACAAAACAACTTGTCAATCTTCATCTCAGAACTAAGTGCTTCCTTTACGCTATGGATCAGTCTGGACAGGACTACCGCGGATAACACTTCTAGAAGCGGTATGGTCTGCTCCGAGAGAGGTGCTACTCGTGTTTTTGAAGATACAAATCTGACATAACTTGCACACGTCGTCACAATACGCAGAAAGACCACCGCACTGTATGCCTTAGCTGATGCATCACAAAACCCATGCAGTTCACTCGCAATCACTTCCCCTTCCATGCCAGCATAATAACATCTCGGGAGAGTAAGAGGTTTAACACCCTGCAGTTGCGTCTCCAATCTCTGCCAGATTGACTTGCAAGAACCTTCCAGTGGTTCGTCCCCGTCTCTCTTGTCCTTGCACAACTCTTGAAACAGGATTTTAAACTGGACTGTGACCGGAGAAATCAGACCGAGTGGATCATACATTTTTGAGGCTGTGCTGATCACGTTTCTCTTTGTAGGTTCTACTCTCTTTGCCAAAGAGGTAGTGTTTGTAATATCAAAGACAAGGTTGTCATTGTGATAGTTCCATAGAGTCCCTAAAATTCCTTGACCACTAACATCTTCAACTGCACTTCCTAGAACACTTCTTGAATAGGTCATATCTTCTTCTTCCACAACATTTGTGTCTACTACTGGTGTTTCAATAACCTGGTTGTAAACATTCCCTCCATCTCCAGAACCTGTTTCTCCTGAGACCAATCTCTCATGGTCCTCAATTCTCGCTCGCAGTTCTCCTGAACTTGTGATAAACTTCCGCAAATTGAAACCTGCTTCCCTGAGCCTCGATTTCGATTTCACGTAGAGCTGAAAGGTGCTGTCCACGTCACTGTCCCCCGATGTCAGGTCATCAACATAGATACTTTCAAGAAACTTCCTGGTAAAATCAGGCTGGGCAGTTACGACTAATGTGATCTTTTCGCAGGCAAACAAAACATCTCCCATACTTCTACAAAAGCTCCTTACAGGCTAGTACATCAGGTACTGTTTGGCAGTCCCTTGATGGGTGTTTTCCCCTACAGTAGGTGCAGGTGGGACAGTTAGCTTCACCACTAGTTAACAAGGTATGTGTAGTTCCTTCTTCCCTTCGTTTCGGTTTTGGTGGAGAGGGTTGTCCTTTGTTCACCGTAGACCCTCCTGCCCTTTCGCTTGCCTCAAGTTCCCTTTTGAAAATATTGAGCAGCTGATCTAATTGCCAGTCATTATCTCCCATTTCTCTCGTAATAACAAGATGAAATTCCTGAGGCAGCTTGTTCATCAAGATGGATGATAGCAAACCCCCATACGATTCACGTGAAACTCCTAATGACTTTAAGCTTCTCACATTAGATTCAATAGTGTCACGCAGCTGACTTAGACTTCTTACATGATAGTGAGATGTGACAGATTCATGATTCAACAAAATTTCCATGTGAGGATTAATTATTTGCTGCTTGTTGCCAAATCTAGCTTTCAAAATGTCTATTGCTTCCTCATAGTTCGATGCCCCAAGACTTAACCCGGAAATGGCCTCTGCCGCTGACCGTTCGAGCAACGAGTTTAGGTAGTTAAATTTGCCAATGGCAGTTAAACTCTCATTTTTATGAACTGAGTCTTCAAAACTATCCCAGAAAGAAATCCACTTACTGTGATCGCCGTCGAACTTCTTTAACTCCAGCTTTGGCATTTAACTTGAGTATTTCTCCACACAGATGAAGAGGAATTCGACGTTGAAGCTGAAGGTGGCGAAGAATTACTCCCCATTAGAACTTCATTTGCTGACATGCTTTCCGACATGTTCGCTTTGGTATTTACATTTGAACACACGACCTTCGGCGACAAGGCGTTTTCTATGTTAGCAATAGCCAACTGAACATTTTCCTCCATCAAATCTGCTCGTTCAGTTTCACCTTCGATTTCTTCTTTGGCCACAAGGTCAAGAATTTCTGCATCAAGTTGCCGAAGAGTATTGAGTTTCTGCTGTAGGCTGTCCCTTTGTTGTTTCAGCTTGATTTCGTGTTCCCGCACTTGAGAGATGTCTCCTCCTCCAAGGACATCAATAACAGATGAAATAATACGTTTCACACTTGACCTGTGCCCTGCACGCTGCCGTCGCTTTCTGGCGAGTTCTTCGGCCATAACACAACACAACTTCACTCACAACTGCTACGTAGCATCCGCTTTTATCTGGCTAACGATGGACCATGTAGACGAATTTGAACTGTATTTTATTCCAAGGATTGTCAGGCTCGATTCCTAAGGGTTACAACACTCTGAAGGGTCCAACTTCTAAAGGATTACACAGGATTCCATAGATTCAATTCACTAAAGGTTCACAGATTGTCAAAATGGCTACAAGAATGCAACACGTTTTCGGATCTCTCCCAGAAGGCCTAGCGCGCTCCTAAACTCTTATGTCATCGCGTACAATAAGAATTACGGACATGATCACACAAGGTGAATTTTATCCTCTTCTCCCCACTACTTCTGTAGGAAATGAATAGGGGCAACAAATGAGAATTCAAATTTTGATTTTAGGGTTTAAAGGGTTAAGCTTAGATTAATATTTATGGTCATATCCACAAAATTTGGAATATAGAGAAAAAGGAAAACAAGAAAGTAGGCAACAGGCTAGCAAAGCTCAAGGAGAAAAAGAGCGACAGAGAGCTAGAGTGAGAGGTAAAAAGTAAGGGAGACCAATTTTGTTGGAAGAATAATATGAACATTTTGTAGCAGTGGTGAGAAAAGGAGAAATGCTAGTAGCCTGCAAGGTGAAAAAGAGCGGCAGTGAATAAAAAGGGAACCTGAATTTAAGCAATAAAATTTTTTGTGAGCACATAATGTATGACTATTTCTCCATAAAATTTCTGACTACTGTAGGAAGTTTCACATTGCCACAACAATGGCAAAGAAATGTACAATAGACCTATTGATTTTTTTTGCTCTTCTTGTTGTAATCACTGTTTAGCATTACACTATTTTAGTTTTTGAGTAAATTGTAAGTATATCGACGAGAGCTTCACTTTTAGCCCTGGCTATCATGAAATTTATGATTATTAATTATGTTTGGCAGGCTTTGTAGTTCCCAAGGTTGTCAATTTCTCAGGAATAGCTAACTTAAAAACTAACAGCCACCATTACAGAAAAGAAAACAAACTCAAACCATTCTTTTTGAGGAGATTGTTTTCACAAAAATACATTGCAGAAAACTATTGAGAGGTCAAAGTTTCCATTTGCTGTCATTTTTTATCGAATTTTTTGTCTATGGTGGCTGGTTTCTTTTTCTCCTTAGGTAGGCCACCCCATGGGTATCACTGGAAATTGGAATCAAACTTTCAGGGGTTTCAGTAAGCTTCTCTGCTCAGAGCAATCGGCTACTTTTTTCCCCAAAAGAAGCAACTAGTTTTAACAATGTCTTAAACAAAACAAATATCATAAAATCTGAATGAAAACTTAAACTTAATTATGACGTGTTTTCAAGGACCTCTGGTTTTATGTTGCGTTTCAGTTACACAAATGCTGTATTTCAGTTAATTGTTCTCGTGTTTCTTCATAGGTTTATGCAAAATTGTTTATGTGCAAATGTACTTAATTTAAAATATTGACATTTGTTCACTGCTTGTAAGAATTATTGATTGTGTGGCTATGAAACCTGAATGAAAGCTATATTTTCTTGAATGAAAAACACACTATTTTGTACTCAATTTAGTCTCCAGAAAACTGGAAATCGCATTTAAGGGCTTTGAAATTCCAAAATGTTCTTGTGGAGCATGCCCCCAGACCTCCCTAGAAGGAGGGGACCAATGGCTGTAGATTCAGTTACAAACAGTTACTCTATTCAAACCTGCTGGCTTACTTCAATATAGTTATTGAAACACCTGGTAATTTTAAATTTTTGTCTAAAGATTCCTTGGGCTGATTTGTGTAAAATGGGTGTTAAAATGAGGAAATGATGTTTCAGAGAACTCATCTCCTAACACTTTCCTAGCAAGAGCAGGGCCATGTCCCTCACCCCACCCAAACCCCCCTCCCTCCCTTACTCCCTTTAGGAGAGTATGCCTCTGGAACATATTTTTGCCACCAGTCAGCAATGGTCCCTTACCTGCTCAGCTAAAATTTAGGGATCGATCGTGCCTATAGGCATGATGGATAATAAATGATCATGAGTTTGTGTACTTGTTGGTAATGCATCTAGGTACATGAAATTTCTTTTTTGACCTGGTACTGTAATTAGAGCTTGTATTGAAGGGAGCAAGCTAAAGAACTTGTGTGCCCTCTCACTCCATACTATATCTGATTAAAAATTAATAAAATAAATCATTATTAACAAAGCTGTTCCCACCTGTCATAAACTCACTGAGATGCTTTGACCACGACTATATCTATATGACGGTTTCATTAATTATTTTTAAGAGCTTTGTTAAATTCTTCAATAGAAGACCGCTTTGGTACAGGCAGGAAAACTTTGCGAAGCAGCGAGGAGATATGGTTGCTATAGCAGCCCCCCTCACTGTTATTGGGTTTGCTGGGTAACCGAGCTTTATACATAAAGGTCTATGAAAAAGGACATGTTATTGACAATTATGACTGTATTGCAATTAAGTACATTTTTAAGTTTTGTTGGTGGCTGTCCCCAGCTATTTTGGCATCCTGTTCTATCAGTTGTTTTATTTTTTCTTTTAGAGGTAATTCCAACTGCTGACCCAAACGTAGCTTTTGAAGACATTGATGCTGCAATCTTGGTTGGGGCCATGCCACGAAAACAAGGTATGGAGAGGAAGGACCTACTTAAAGCCAATGCCAAGATTTTTGTTGTTCAAGGAAAAGCTCTGGATGAGAAGGCTAAAAAGACTGTTAAGGTATGTTTAAATTAATGTACATGTTTTTACCTGGTCTCAACTCCCAAAGAGGAAGTTACCATTAGTCAAGTTCTTCAAGTTCTTTTGTACATGTAGATAGTTCACGTTTACTGAAGTAATAGACTATTTTCCTTCTCTCTAGTTATAATGATTTGAAATAATATTTCAAATCATTATATTTTGCTCTGCAAAATCTGAAATATTATAACGTATTCTTCAAGACTCCGGCAATATTATTATTGAGTCAAAGTGTTATAATGTTTTAGATTTTTGCAGAGCAAAATATTTTGAGGTCATCTCTCGACAGCTTCCACATCAACAGTTTATGAGAATTGTAAGGGTGTTACAGTCAAGCCAATAGATTCTATTATTGAAATGATTATTTGAGAATTGAATAGTGTCAGTTGTTGTCACTGCTGGTGTTAAAAGAGACCTTTATAGTCGAGGACAGAAAGACTAAAAAAAGGGCGAGATTTGACTTACTTTGTAAAAGGTTTCGCGTACAGTGAATTACCTGTATCAAGCAGATACTGTATTAAGCTGACACCTTTGTTAAGCACATGTGCAGGACACCCACATTGGAAGAATTGGATGCAGTGGTCATTCCTATTGTTACAGACCTGTATTTAATAAGTAGACACTTGATTGTCATTACTTTCCACCATCCAAATTACCAGACACCTGACATTCTAAAGATTTCCACCCACGAATTTGATGATTTTAGAATCAAAAATGTACTTAACAAAAGATGTATAAATTTGCATTAAAATTGTCAGGAGAATTGACAAGGAGAAGGAGAAAAAAAAATAAATGCAAGATGCCAAGAAATGTGTAAGCAATACACCATGTTTTGGTCAAAAATGTACTTTGAAACACTTTCCTGGTTACTAAGCACAGACGAATGCAATGTGAACTGCTGTGTTTTGTTTCGATTTGACTAGAAGATCAGTCACTTTGTGATGTGTACTTGAAGCCCTCATTAACCTGCTGATCAGTTTCACAGTTCTTTTTGTTTGTATAGATAGTCCAAGAGCATGTGTAATGCCGTGGGAATTTCGTGAAGAAAGCAAGCCACTAGTCTAAATGTGTTAAGGGGACCCTAAATAACATGAAAAGTTTTGGTGGCAACTTAGTAACTTGCTCAGACGGGATTTACATGTACATATGGGGTCAAAAATGTGATGTGTATTTATATCCCAGCATGGAAATGATACTCCACAGCTTGCCATTATTTCTGTAAAACTGTATCAAAATCACCACATTTATTTAAATCAATGTTTCAAATAATTATGAACATACGATTTTAAGAAGTTACATGGGGTCATGTGATCAAGCTAGCCAGAAAACGAGGCTCACTCAAAAGCTGCTTTGGAAAGCCCTTAAACGTCTCCTGATGAAGGAAGAGATTGACGAAAGTAATTCAGGTGGATATCATCTGTGCAATCAAATATGATTATTTGGTAAGGGTTATCATGTGACCATGCTGACATGAAAACAAGGCTGACTCAAAAGCACATCGTAATAAATAAATTAAAACGTTTTAGAAAAAATGTTTTAAGAATTGTTTTAGAGATATTAATATGGGCAGGTAACCCATTTTGATTGAAATACAGACATATTCTGTAATTTACACACGTTTATTTGAAAAAGTCTGTCATCTCCTAGTTTCTTCTTCAGAACCGTAATACAATGTAGCCAAACCATTACAATGGATCAGATAAACTTTCCTTACCGTAAAATTATTAGAATCACTTTTCACAGGAGTTTTACTATAAAAGTATCTTAAAATCTAACATAACCTCCCTAAAACATGTCTTAGCACAGTTATTAGTCATAAAAACTATTATTGATTGTTCACGTGGCTCACTCTGGTATATACATTTCACTATCTGAACTAACCTCTTCATCTGAGTAGAGTACATCTTCCTCCCGAACATCATGATCTCAGGTGTTGCCATTGTTGGAGCAGTTGCAAAGGTCTGTACAGTTTAAACCAGCCTTGCAGTACTGGTAAGGGTTAGTGGAACACCTTTCTTTGGAGCATCTACACTGTACTAGTTGAAGTATCGCTTCAAGGGCTGGTGGCAGGTTTGTCATGAGAGGTACCCATTCATCATGGTCCATCCATCATCCATAGTGCTGCGGTGATAGTAGCTCTGGGTTTGTTATTCTGTTGCTGTTCCAGACCATCAACTGGTATAAATGGGCTCTCAGGATTGCCTGGTGCAATGCTGCCTGTGTTGGTGGCAACCTGTCTGATTGTGCTTGTCTTTTCTTGAAAAGGCTACATCATAGCTCTTTTTAATTAACATTCGTAAGTTTTGTTCTTGTTTGGTATAGCAGACAGACACACTTCTCACTGGCTGCAACAATTTCTTCATTTGGATGAGCAGCTTGCCCAAGTTCTGCGAGGGCGGTGATAATGGATGAATCCACTTTTGCAAATATCTTCAAGCAGAGAAGCTTTCCCTTTCTTCCTGTGTTGCTGGCTCTGCTTAGGGTGTGGAATGCTGGAAGTGTTGCTATCTTCTCTGGCCCAAGAGTTTGAATAATTGGTTTCAGCTCAATAATACAATGGGACCCTCCTCCGGTGACAAACAGAGTGTTCTCACACAATTCCAGATACAGTTGAACCTGTATACAACAGCCCTGTATTAATTAAGCGGCCAGTTTTCAAAGTCCTGATTTTTCACCCATACAAATGCTGTATTTGTTACCTGTATTAGGCGTCCACCGCATCCACGGCCACCCTGTAGCAGTCCCATGTTATTTTTACCTGTATTAAGTGACCACGTGTGAATGGAAACTAAGCTATAACATTTTCTCCAGTATTTTATTGCATTTAAAATGCAATCCATCATTGCTATAAAGAAATAACATGAGCTACTGGAAGCTGATACTTGGCTGTTTAATATCATTAACGATTTTCAGATGTCATCAGATTTATTGCACAGTGCTTTTACACAATGTTACCTATGCATAGTATACCGTTAAGTTACAACTTGGCACTTAACTTTGTTAGAAGTATTGTTCACTTAAAAGAGTGCTGATTGTCCTATTTTTGCTTGAGTGCAGTGTTTTTGTATGTCACGCCACTGAAATTGACACTAGACCATGCCCAGTGACTTAGCCTGAGTATCAGGCGTTTCTGGGGAAAAGGGGAAAGATGGAAGCGAAAAAGGGAGAGAGCTGAGCTTTCTTTCTCTTCTCCCCCTCCCCCCTCCCCCATCTAAAATCTCCTCTCCCCTAGCCCCTTAGGAAGGCCCGATACTCCGGCTACCAGTGACTATTTTTAGTGATCTTGTATTAAGAAGCCAGTTCCTCAAATTAGTCCCGAGGGTGGCCATCATATACAGGTTCAACTGTAATGAATCTATTCTCAAAGACATCTGTGTCCAGAGGGTGAATCTGTAGTTGAGTTGCACCATTAGCAGTAGAATCAAGGGCATGTACTACCATCTTTGTGTCAGCTTCATCTTGGTTTTCTGTGAATGTCCTTCGTCCTTGTGTGTTACTTTACACACACTTTCCCATGCCACCACCAGTTGCCTTCCACTATGATGAGCATATTCTTTTATCCTTTGGCCCAAATAGATGGTGAGCTTCGTTTTGGTCTTTGTGTGTGACAGGAGTTGAATTTTTTTCAGGCTTCTTTACGCAATTGCATAAATTGCATTCACTGCGACGATCATTTCTTCATTTTCATTTCATTTCCGCAGTTCATATATGATTTATTTCATAGTTTATTAACAGGAGTCATTTCATTGGAACTTTGGCAATGTGAGTTGTCAGTGATGTGATAACACAGGAGCTTGGCCTCCTTGTTTAACTCTGGTGGTCGCTTTGAGTGAATCAAAGGACTCTATGAGCCAACTCGTGAATCAGTTTAAGGTTTTTTGTTAATCTGTTTAATAAGTAACATTTTACAAGATGTTTGTGTTGAGGGGGGGGGGGCAGTCTCCAGTCAGTTAAGGGTAGCTGAGTCTTGAAGGTTTTAAGAAAACATTTTCATGGTGGTATAACTTATATATAAACTGCTCAGTAAGTTTTGACTCAGCTACTATAGTCAGAGAGTTTGCCACCTGAATCTATACATTGTAGATTGTTTTGTGACCCAATTTTAAGGTTATATACGGACATTTAAGATTTAGGAGTAATGAAAGTCAGATTTTAGTGCCTTCTGTTTTTAGACTGGAAAAATATTGTAACGCTTACTGCTGGGTACCCGAGCTTGCCCTGTCTGGCAACAGGTGCAACGTTAACTTCACATACTCCACAGTAATATGAAAACAGCAATAATTATTTGATGTGAAGTGAAAATTTTCAATGATATCTACGCACTTATGCAGTAATTTCAAGGAATCATTCACAATAATTGAAGGCCATACAAGGCGGCTTAAATAGAGACTTTGTGAAACTATGATAGATGCCAAGGAAACATCAATGAAAACTTCCACTACAAAAAATAAATCCAAATTTCTAAAACTACTTCAAAATCAAATTGCCTTGTTCAATTTGTATACTAATATTTTCCACTGGAAATGACCTGCTGCAATTTAGATGCGTGATGGTTATGTTCAAAACTACCCATAACACTATTATGCACAGCCGCGGAATCAGGGGCATGACCACTCTTTGGCTATCTTTGGTTATTTTAGGTAATCTAGAGATACCAGGTAGAGAGAAGTCATATTTCTTTTTGAAAATTAAGCTTTTCAAGGAAAAATTTCTTGAATGCAACTTCAAGTAGCAAAGTTGATGTTGGTGATGTATCAGTGTCAGAGGGAAGCTCGACAGCTGCTGAACAGCTCAAAACAAAAGAGAAACAATTAATAGAAGATGTCTCTGGAAAATTCAGATATGATCGCTTTGGATATCTTTGTATGGTCTATTTATATGTTACTGTTTTCTAATAATTTGTCATTTTCAAATGCATAACAAAGTTTGACAAGGTTTTTCTGGACTAACAGGTTTTAATCGGAAAATTTTAGTAACATGCGCATGGCTGAGCATGTAATGTGACAAAACCAAAATGTGACCAGTCACCGCTCGAAATATACAAGGCTCATTTGCATACAGTAAAAGTTTACACCAATCAACCAACCAACCGACCGACCAACTTTGAGTGCTCCCTATAACCTTGTGAGTAAATCATATCTGTCAAAAATTAATCCCACTTCATTACTTCCAGTGTACCTCTGCATAACAAAGTTGCTGAAGTGGTCAGCTAACTGTGCACAATTTCTGATCCACTCGGGCTTGTCAAAGGAGTGGACTTTTGCCATCCCATCTACAATAACAACTTTCACTTGATCTTTGTTTGGACCAGCTACTCTCCTGTTGTTTCTGTTGTTGTTCACCTTCTCTAGAATGCTCATTAGATTACTCTTGGATGAAGAATGAGCGCCATCAGCAGCGAACAATGATCTATCTAAAATTCAGCTGACTATCGAAAATGACTATCGAAAATTCGTATTGGCCTACATTCTCCTTGATATCGATTTATGGCCTGCTCTTGCACACCATCATTATACGTGCAAAAAGGGACCTATCCTCTTGAAGCTCCACAATCTTGTCTGCTGCAGTCACCTTCACGACCTTTGCACTGGTTTTCCATGTTAAGAGTTTCCTCCTCTTCATCAGGGGCACCCAACGAGAATATAGTTCAAAAACCTTTTAAACATAGAATTGAGAAAAACGTATTTTATTATTTAAACGGTAGATATAGGCATATTTTTATCCCCTAAAAATGTTTCATCTTTTCGGATTTCCTAGCTGAAAGTCAAGTGATCCGAAAATTATAGGGATCAAAACTCACCTTTTCGAAAATTTCAGCCAGAAAAAAGGCTCCCGAAAATTCTAGGTGACCTTTTTAGGGTAAAAATCCGTTAAAAATAGGCAATTATACCATTTTTTCGATGTTCGAAAATCCTAGGAGCGGCAGGCAAGCAAGAAATTGTACAAGAAATGTTCCGAAAATTCTAGATCTCAAATCGTCTTCCGAACAGATATTTTTCCGAAAACTGTCGTTGGGTGCCCCTGCTTCGATTCATGGGTGACCAAAGGTTAACTTTGCCAGACTGGACTCGTTCTTTCAGAAAACAGTCGAACAGTCTCCGGCCAATTTCTCTTTGTTTATCTTTCTTTACTGTTTCTGGCATAACAGCCTTGTTTACAAGGTTGAACAGGTCAGTATGTGCGTCAGAGAATGGATTCATGAACCTTTCAATAGTGGCTGTTAACTGTGCTACACCTTTCTCTTTGTGTGCCAAGACAGCCGTTGTGAGGTTGTGATGATGACATTGAGTCTTGGAAGACACCCTGCCGCCCCACCCCCTTCCTTATTTTCTTTGCTTGTTCAGCTAGCCTTCGAGCTCTGGAGCTATCAGAAAAGAATTTTGTCATAGCAGTTTTATTTAGGGTGATGCCAACCAATCCCCCAGAGACTTTCATGGAGCAGTCCTTATGTTTGAGTGCATTGTCGGCTCCTGCTGGGCAGAACAGTACTTGAGCATTCTTGTTCACTAACCAATTTCCTAGGATGAGCTCTTCATGGATTTCTGGATCTCCTTCATTTAGGGATGACATCTCAGCAAGGTACACACGTACATAAATCATAAGTGCATAGTTTATTCTGTCATGGACGAAGAAGTACTTGGTGAACATCTCTAGAGCTATCAGATGCAGTGACCAGTCTCGGATCCGGACAGCTCTGATGAATGCTACCATTTCTATCACCATATACATGTAGTGGCACATCACTTTGAACATTGGCTTTTTGGTGTTTGCATGCAGCTTCAAATGTTGACATCATCTCAAGAATATTGAGATAAATATCTATAGCACTAACCATTTGTTTTCCTCACTCGGGTTCCTGTGCCACCTTTCCAAGCATCGTAAAATTCTTGTGCCAAACTCTGAAGAGTCTTATGTAACTCCTGATGTTTCTTAAGAAAGGCCTCCTGGTACAAAGTGAACAAGGCCTGTATGGTTGTGATATGCACGTTCTCACATCTCTTCACATGATTGCCTTCAAGGATTTGCCTTTTTATTGAGCCTGCCCAGGCTCTGCCCCAAGATCCGACCCCTTACCCTTTTATATACCATTTGTGGCAGAAAAGATACCCCTGGCCTTTCATATACAGTAGAAGCTGTTGTAAGCAGACACCTTCAGGACTTGAAAAAGGTGTCTGTTACTGGAGCTGGCCGCTTAAAAGAATGGTTCTCTAAGAGCTTGCCTGACTGTAAATAAAGTCATTGGAAATGCAATCGAAAACCTGTTTGCTAGTGTTTAGCTGTAGTTGTTCTGACAATGTTGCATATGTAATACAGTCACAAGCCTAAAATTCAAGTAGTGTTTTGAACGGAAATCAGACGTGTTTGACTTGTGAAAAAAACAAACAAACAAAAAAAAACAAAATGAAAGCAAACCAAAACAAACACTGAAACTGATATATATTCATGGCTGCAAACAGTGATATGAAGTTCGTACATAATTAAAATACAAGATTCAGAGGCAAATGAGATTTCATTTCACATGTCCACTTACACCTATGGGAGTTGTTATGGGACAGGGTTTTGTAAAGGTGGCCATTAAGGTAGAGCTGTCGGCTTATGAGAGCATAAGTTAACAATAAAAACTTTCACCGTACCTTGTATTGATAAATGGCACCCCTTTCACATACTTAGTTAAGAACTTTGCATCCCTTTTAAATGCTGAAAATGTAAATCACAAAACCACAACATTTTTTTCTCGACTTTTTCACAGCCGTAAAATGCGTCTGTTAGCCCTTTAGGGCCTTGTTATGGACCAAAATGACAATTTTTTACCCTTTCATACACTTAAACCTGAAAATTTACCCCTTTTGGTCAGAGCATCCCATAATATAGGCCAATGTTGAAGGTACCCGCCTGTGATCCACTCACAAATATAAACACATTCATGTGGCATCCTACTCTCTGGGAGTATTACAAACATCTCCAGTGTCCATTTGACTCCTCATATTGACTTTCTCTATGAACACCTATCTTAATTAACGGACATGAGAGTATTCGCTGAAGGTGTCACCTTATATAAGCTTATATAGGTTTCAGTGTATTCTAAAAGAAAGACACCCTCGAAAGCCTCATTTTACCTTTTTCCACCAGAAGAGTTAACACAGTTATTTTAATTGAAATAGGTGAAGCCACCATTTTAACCCCCCTGATTGTAAAAATAATGATAGATTTCCACCATTATTTTGATAACTTGCTTCTGCCACTACGACATTTTAGTACATGTAATGACAACAGCTTTCACATTTTCCTGCCAAAATGATGCTGGTTCAAGTGCCAGCACCGAGTAGTACAATGAGAAAATCTGTCTCTAGTAGTCATCTTCATCTTCAAATTTAATTCCTGCAATGATGTATTATTTTGCTAGTGAATTTTAGACTATAACTTCTCTTGAAAATTTTTGTCTTCTTAAAAAAAAGTTTGACACTTGAATGGATGAAATTCTTATGATGCCAATATTTTAATGTTTTGAGTTAAAAAATACCAAAAAATTTAACTTCTTATATTGTGTGAATTCACCACTCTTTATAATGTACATATATATAATGAAGTGAATCAGTTATTGGCAATGATTCAAGTAGTGAATGAAATAATGAATGCATGACTGGCTCAACTTTAAACATTAAATCAAATCAAGATGTGAAAGTACTGTCTGTACAAGACCACAAGGTCTGCTCAAATTTTGGATTAATAGTGTGATACTTCATGTAAGTTCAACATATTGAACTGGGATTGAAGCCTAGATCTACCACCTGTAGAAAGGTCAGATGGATGACCATATGACTGATTGAGGAATACACTGACAGCTCAGATAACTAGACACACCGAAAGGAGAATTCACTGGGCTGTTTACACTAGACGGGAATATATGTATTTTGTATGAAGACGAGAAGTTTACTAAAACAGACAGTCAACTGTCCATTGTTCCCAATCCCTTATTATTGATTGCACTGAGACTAGGACAATCCTAATTTGGGGTGTACATTGTACATGAAAACACACAATTGTTTTCCCACAAGATAAAAATATTCAGTTTCTTTATTTTTCTGACTTGTTATTTTTGTTCAACTTAAAGGAATGAAGTCCTTTACATTTTGTGACCTTTTTGTGATTTCTCTCTGATTTTGCATGTTGATTTCATTAGCATGCACTTTAAACAGTGTAAATAGATGAAATGATCGATAACACCTTTTTTGTAGTAATGCTAATATGAGTTGAAAATTTGCTCGAGTTCGCTGTTTGTCTCACCGGTGACTAACTGTTTTTCATGGCAGAAAGTAATTATCCTGCTTTATAACTCCTTCGAATTTTTGTGCCAGCCAAGCAATATCCAAATCAAAACATTATTCACAATCCTTGGGTATTAAAGAGACTGAATGTAACACAATGCAAATGCACTATGTGGGCAAGGTACAAAAATATTACCATTCGTGCAAGGGAAAATCGTATGAAATAATATGTGAGAACATCGTTTCTTCAGTCCCAGACCTCCTGTCTTCCTTCCTCCGGGTGTTAGTTTTTCTACACAGATGACTGAAAACCGACTGGCCTGCCATAGGCAACACAGCCCAGTAATAACTCAACCTCATGAATAGGTTCAGAATTATTTCTGTAGTCCTCCATACAAGCAAGTTTCAAAATGGTATTTTCTTGTATTTTAAAGGATGTTTTGCATTCAATGTTAAGTAGAATGCAACACATAATCTTGCGATGCCTTTGGCACTCAGGCATCCAGTAGTACTCAAGGGTGACCTTTTCAGCAAGCACTTTTTATCGTTTGTCTGCATTTTCTGCACCATGTTGAATAATTAATCTCGCACTACTTACATATATGTAAATAGCAGTCGCACACCTTGTGGTGAGTACTTTTACATAAAATGCAAGGCAGTATTTTTCGTTCCAGCAAGAGGATGCAATGTGTTAAAAGTTTGGCAAATGAATATAAATTTTGGAGTTGTTTTACCGCTGAGCTGACGATTCTGTTACACCTTTCTTAATGGTGAATATACCAGTCAAATCGAGCTAAAATTTCGCAGAAAGAGACAAGTAAACACCTGAAGTAACATTTTTACTGTAAGGAATTTGGTTGGCATTTGAGTGTATTTAGTTATTTATTTATTTATTTATTTATTTGTAGTTTCACTTTTCAAATGCACGAAAACATTCTGGAAAGAAGTACATTTTGAAAAACATTTTACCCGCGTATCAGTGATTATTGCCCCCGCAGGGATTTCGGTCAGAAGGCGAAATCCCGACGAGGCACTCTAGTAACTTGTGTGTATTTTAAGGAAAGTACTTACAGTTGAAATATACGGTCAGTATGCCAGAGAAAATCTTGATTTGCTTGAACAGAGGCCGCAAGGAATCGGCAGGTAATGATGACGTTTCTATTGTTTGTGCCCGCATGTACGAAATAATTAGGATGACGTAAAGACAGATTTTTTGACATTTGATTTCTTACGCTTACTTTCCGGGAAACAAATATTCCATAGCTGAGATAAATACAGGAAACGCAAGGTTCCATGCACAGTTGTAGTTCGATTTACACAGCTTTGATCAAAACATTCTCAGTTTCCGAGAATAGTTTATTCTAAACCATAAGAAAGAGTGCATTAGAAGTTGAATTCTTCGTCATTTCTCTTTTACTTTTTACATTCAGTTCTGAAAATCTTCATTATGAATTTGTAAATTTCAAAGAGCTACACAACGAGCAAGAATGCTATTGACCGACAATACACAGAGCGGGGGCAGCTGTAGTGTCAATTAACTATTACTAGTAGTAATACATGTCATGTTTTATCAACATCTGATATAATGTATGCAGGAGTTTGTTAGCAAGGCCATCTCACTTGCCGGGCAAGAAAAGATTAAAACATGATGAACTGATCATAAACTATACGGACTGAAATTATGAAGATGAAGAATTTTACAGAATGGCAAAAGATTTTTTCTGGTTCACTGACATCGTTTTTTCGCAAAAACCTAACATGATTCTCTTGCTCCTATCAATGATGATTGTTTTTTCACTTCAAGCTGTTATCTTTTGGCTAGATTGCAGAATACCCAGCAACCAAATATCTAACTTAAAAAACTACTTTCACATTTCCCCAGTCATATGATTTGCATATAAATTCTGACATCGACTGCGGGAGTGCGGGACTGAGAGAGCACTAGTTGCATGCCCACTTAATATTCACTTTTCAGAGATTGCAGGAGTGTGGGAATGCAAGAGTACTTATTTTACTCATTTAGATTTAATAACAGAACACGACTGCCAGGTATTCTGCAAGAGTTCCTATCTTTTTAGCAAAATAAAACTTTTTACGATGTGCTTCACATTTTTATCAACCATATTTGGGGAAGAGTGAGACATGTTAAAATTTGAAGCTGGTCTTCCTGAAGAGCAAAGAAAGAATGTTTACTCTGTAAAAAAAAATTCATGATCTCTTCCCTATTTTGAAATGACTAATGCTTGATGGTAAAAAAGCTAACCTGCAGCTAAGAAAACTTGAACGCACACATTAATCTAATGTTATGATTACCACCAGTTTAACTGTTTTATGTTTTGATGATTTACAGGTCCTAGTTGTTGGTAATCCTGCCAATACTAACTGCATGATCACACAAAGGAGTGCACCATCCATCCCAGCATCAAATTTTTCATGTTTGACAAGACTGGACATGAACAGAGCTAAGTCTCAGGTAAGTGCAAGCACAGTTATACCATTTTGTGATGACTCTGTTCTACTTCAAAAGAAAATAAAATGGAAGCTCTGGTTTTTTTTATAACATTCCAAAGTCAATGTTGTCTTGCTGTGCGAATTCTACATGACCAACTGAAGTGTATGACTTAGAATGACTTCAAAAGTTTCTTGCAATCCACTTGTAATACTGTAGTGGTTCTTTCTTTAGCAAGTACACAACCAGTCCCACATCAAATTGTAACCACCAGATTGTAAACTCCATGTTCAAGTTCAGAAGACAGTACTTGTATTGAAACCATTGTTGACATTTACCAGGTAAAATAGATTATCTTTTCTGTCACATTGAAGATTGCATCAAAGGCTGGAACTAGTGTGGAAAAGGTGAAAAATGTCATCATCTGGGGAAACCACTCATCAACTCAGTACCCAGATGTCAATCATGGTACAGTCGTTTTGCCTGATGGGGAGTCATCAATCAGAGCGGCCTTAAAGGACGACAACTGGCTCAATGGAGACTTTATCAAGGTAAGAAAAAAAAAGCATTTCTTTTACTGGCATTTGTTTGTGAGGTGTTACTGTACTGACCTTTGCATCAGTCATGTAACTTATTGTATAATAGTATTATACTTATCGTTTAATATTAAAAGTCAAAATTAATTGCATGTGTGCAGTACTCGTATGGATGATTGGTGCTCGTTTTATTACCTGCAAGGGAGGACTGGTCATTTTACAGGGGGTCATTTTCAAAATCTTGATTTGTTTCAGAGAGGATAGCATTACCTGGGGGTCATTTATTAATAAATTTCATGAAAGTAGTACAAAGCAGTAATGAGCTAGCGTGAATTGAAATTGAATGTAATAGCCGTGAATAGTAAATGCCGATTTTATAAACATGAGTAAAGATAAGGTATGTGGTGACCTTTGGCATACTTTGTAGCTAGAATAATCATAGTTTGCACAGTAATTAGGTGCGCGTCACAGGGCTTCAAGTGGCCTTAAGCAAAAATATAGGGCTTAATATAGGGGTAATTTTTCAAAAATAGAGGCCCAATATAGGGAAAATGGTAAAATAATAGGGAAAATAAAGGGATTTTTTAAAGTGTATTTTATCCAGTGCCAGTTTTGCAACTCTGGAGAAGGCAAGGAACACAATACATTTTAGTCCAACATTGTGAACACTAGTAGAGAATAACATCACTAACTTTGAGCACGCAAAAAAATGTACCTACATTAATACACACAATGACCCTAAAGAAGTACGGTGCAAATGCTGTTATTGTGTTTTGCAACTGTTAGAATTCTTTCTAGGTGAAACAGTGAAATTGGTATGCCTATACAACTTTAACCTCATGTTTAAACCCCTTTTTATTTTCTGGCCGGTAGCTCATGCTGTGGAGTTTTTCTCACATTGAGAGGGCATAAAGCTAGTTTGTTTTAAAACCACTGATTTCTGGTGGTTTTTGTTTCTGAAAGAATGTGACCACTTTTGAAGCGTTAACCTTGATACTGCAACTCAATAACCTTTTGATAAAGGTTTTAGTTTCTATAGTTTGCTCCAAAATGTTTGAATGTAGAGTTGTTTTGTCCCTTTAAGCAATGACTCCCTGCTATGTTTTGTTGGGCTGGGACCAGAGTTTTAGAGATGCCTGCAAGACGTAGAATTCTCATGAAGAGTGATCTACAGATCCAAACTTAACAGAAGGAATTATAGCTTAAACTCGAAGCTACACCAACAAACCAAGTATGGAGAATTGTACTTGACGACTGATACCCTCCACTTTTTTGTGGATAAGGCGAATCTTTGGAGTGGAGCACAGTGTCTTTATATGTAATTCCTTTTGCTTGCGAATATTCGGTTAATCAAAAGTGCCACTTTCTGATCAGGCAAGACCACGGTTCTGGTTCTCTACGTGAACCTTATTATTTGCAGCATTGGTTTTGTCTTCCGTTGCAATTAAAGGAGCAACATTAGTCTTGAGAATGGTACAGTCGTTCTGTCAGACTGAGCTTTAACCTTGCACATTATTAGAGATACCTCATCACAGATTGGAAATTCTTATTTTCCTACTGGCTACTTTAAAAGCAACCAATTATTGATCGATCCCCTTCCACTTGCAGGGTTGTCACTAAGGGCCGGGGGCCGGGGATTTCCCCCGGCTACTCCGAGCATAACCCCCGGCTACTTTCGTCGTTAAATTAAAACAAAAGAGGACACCCTTGAAACACACAAAGACTATCCATCAAACTAAATGACGGTTTCATCTGCAGCAGGCTTAAGTAATTTTGAAATACTCCGTGCAAAAACTAAGAAATGTCGGGAAAAGACATCTGACTTAGATTTGGTACTAAATACTAAACTCTCCGTTCGCAAAAAAACTAAGAACGTCGGCCGTCACTTTTGTCGATGCTAAAAGTTCCTAGTTTCAACCGCACGCTTTTGTTCACGATGAAGCACCTGAGCAGATATTTGTTGACATCACAGAACAAGTTGAGGCTTCATCCGAGCGTTAAATCTCCCTGATGTTGATGATGATGATAATGAGGATTATGATGAAGGCTTTGAAGATGAAGACTATGACTGATTGCTATGTTTAATAAATTGACATTTAAGTGACCAGGTCTACATTTAGCTTTAGGTATCGAATATATTAAATAACGCACGGTCAATGGGAAATGTTCGATCATTGTCCGCAGGTCATGATTACATCCTCTCAGTTCTACTTCCAAGAAGTTATATATAAAAGGGAAGTTAAGCATTCTTCTCCTTGAGTCTCGTTTTGACATCTCAGCTTCGTTTATAAAGTATTATAACATAGCTAGAAAATTCGCCTAATCAAATTCAATAGCGCGAGCGTGCTTCATATTCCTATTGAGCACGCTGATGACGTCAATAAACTATTCGTAATTCCTCGAGTGGTTGTGAGCTTAGCAATCCTGAGTCTCCTGAGTGCATCCATAACTCAGCAATAGACAAGGAAGCGTTTACGATGTGTTTTATAAGGAAATTTAAGAGGAAACGTTTGAATTTGTTAACCGATAGTAAGGAAAAGAGGTGAGTGTTGTTGTTGTTGTTGTCCTCTCCGCGAGCTGTGCGGGCTATGGCGTGAGTTCATTCTTTGCAAACTTGTTTTCTCTCAATAACAATTTTTCGGTAAATTAATATTTTTCCGGCACCTAAATATGGATTTTATAATCATTTTAGAGTACACTTTCTCTCAGTTTCAGGATAAAAACATAAGATTAACTGTGAGGAAAAAAATATATAGTCACGTAAACATTGACGCATACTGCTTTGAGCGCACCCTACAATAATAAAATTATAAGTTAACTGATGCATTGATCGCTTTGATGATGTTATAAAACAATTAGTTCATGCTTCAGCTGTGCGTATGTCGAGTTATTGAGCACTTGGGAAGTTTGGAGAGCACTCAAGAGGCTAGAGTTGCACTCGGCTGCGCCTCGTGCAACTCTTACGCCTCTTTCGTGCTCTCCAAACTTCCCGCGTGCTCAATATCTCGACATACGCACGCTGACGCATGAACTAATTGTTAATTAGCCCTGTTTTTAAAAACTTTTCCGTGGGTCAGTTTGTTCATATGTTCAGTGACGTCTCGTTCATAAATTCGAGACCACTAATGTTACCAGTTGTGCAGTTTAGTTTTGCCATGTTTTATCCCGCGATTTTCCGTACGTTACGCTTGTTTTAGCCTTATTAGATTACATCATACTTTTATTTTTCAACAAACCATAGTAACCTTATGTTTATGATGCTTTTTCGTACATTCATCGTCCGCTTGTCTTCTTTCCGCTTCTCCGTTGGTTAATTCATTTGTAATATTACTTTTACCTTTGTTTGCCGTAAGTTATTTCATTCTTACGTGTAACTAAATGAGGATTTACAAGCGATTTTACAGCGCATGTTAATTCATTTGCACCATATAAGAATCGATTGTCCTTTCCACATTTGTAACATTAGTAAAGTATCGTTGTGATTTAACACTTCACTGGCCAGCATGCGCCTTGTCTGCGCGAAGAAAAGACTGCGCCTACCTGTCATTTTTTTCAGACCCGGTGCTTACATGTATATTACCATTTGGCGGCCATTACAAAAACCTTCCAACGAGCCTTTACGTAAAGGAAAAAACTTATTATTTTAGTGTCTCAGAATGTTGTAGTTCTCTTTAATAAAGACGTGATCCTCATAACAACGCTAATGGTAGCCGTACTCTTGATGAAGATTTCTTTTTTGGGGCGGTAATGCCTTCTGGAAAACGGTAGAAGTTGCACTTCAAAAACTTCTTGGGGGCGGGGGTGTGGGGTGGGGAGGGGGCTCCATGACTGCTTGCGACTTCCCCGGCTACTAACAACAAATACCCGGCAACTTGAAATCTTAATGTCAACCCTGCAGTCACTTGTAAGCCGAGTGCACACAAAGTTGACGCATAAATACTCCTTCTAAGATCTGAACAATATCTGAATAAAGAATCACTGCTCACAGCAGCATCAAATTAAGTACACTTACATGCACTAATAGTAAACTTATTACCAGTTTGGCCTTGGATGGTCCGAAAAATTCACTGTCTTTGTCACATTCCACCAACAGAAGTTCATGAACTTCAGTCTATTTTTATTTTCTGATGGAATTATAGGGATTATAGGGCAGTTACAAACTAAATAAGTAAATATAGGGAAAGTTTAAAAATATAGGAAATATAGGGACACTTGAAGCCCTGGGGTCACTTTCACAACTGTATGTTAACTTTATGTGGGGGTTTATTATAAAAAGCTAGGATGATGTGGGGGGTCGATTTGAAAATGCTCTAAGCTTTCTCAAAATGGCAGGCCCCCCCTTTACAGGTAAAATACATGACCAGGCCCTTGGTTAACCAAAAGTCCTTTTGTAGGTGTTAAGGACTTGAGTTTTCTTATTCTAAGCATTTTATAATCGTCTTTGTTAATGCTACTATTTTGATGAATTTTGTAGACTGTCCAGAAGCGGGGTGCTGCTATCATTGCTGCCCGTAAGTTGTCCAGTGCCATGTCAGCTGCGAAAGCCATTTGTGATCACATGAGAGACTGGTGGTTTGGAACTGAGGCAAGGAAATTAATATGCCTGTACACATTACTGGGAATTTTTTTTGTTAGCTACCCAAAAAAGAAACATCTTTAGTGGATAACAAACAAAACCAGAATTAAGAGACATCTTCTGCAAATGTATGCAGTGCATCAAAGACACAATTACACAGAATACTGAAAACTATATTATCACAAAAGCATTTAGCAATTTCCAAACTACTTCCAACTGCTCACATGCTTTCTTTGAACCAATCGGGGAATAATGTGACAGGCAAGACAAGAGGGAAATTTTTATTGATATAATGATAGGAAGGTTGAAAAACTCTCATTTGTAGGTTAAACTCTCCTTTTACCTGTCCTTGTAGCAAGAAATTCAACAAAGCTTGTGTTGATTTAGCAGTGCTGCTATTTTATTTTGTTTCACATGGTCAGTAAAAACAATTGTGTCTGAGAACCAATATTACTGTCTGTGTGGGCCATTTTGCTTGTGTTTTCAAATGTCTTATTCCCCTACTTTTGTTTCCGTAGAAACTTCCTTATAATAAATAATACTGAACAATAACTCTAGTTTGCACTTGATTTTGCTTTCCTCATTGACCAATTGGAAACTTCATATTATTTTTGTTGAGTATATTAATTTTATTAACTAATGGTACAAAATAATAGAACTTGCATTGAAATAAAAACCATTGATTCTTGCAAAAAGGCTAAGTAATGGTTCTTTAATAGATCAGGAAGTGGTTCTTACATACAGTGTATGCGGTACCTATTTGGCCATGTTTTAGCGTGGTTCTTCATCTGCAGTATCTAATAATTATACAGTTTCTTACTGTATTCATTCTGACCTTACATGTACTTCCCATGATATTGGTTACAAGCAAAAGCTTTGCTTTGGTCCAAAGTGTAAGAAGACCAAAACATCTCCCTTTAGCAGCATTCTACAGTAGTGCTATTCCACAGGTAGGGCAAACTATAACACCAGTTGAGGGTTGAAGATGATGTCATAATTTTATTGGTGTTCCAATTTTGTTAGGGTGAATTTGTGTCCATGGGTGTGGTCTCAGATGGTTCATATGGCATTCCTGAAGGAATTGTGTACTCTTACCCAGTGACGATTAAAGATCAGAAATGGGAGATAGTTCAGGGGCTGACCATTGATGACTTCTCACGTGAAAAGATGGATGCCACAGCTAAAGAACTCTTGGAGGAGAAGGAAAGCTGTGACTCTTTTATGCAGGAATGACTAGTTTCCTCAAGGCTGTGAGCAACATAATACAACTGTGTGAATGCTGAACTTAGTGTAAATTGTTGTGCAACCACAAAGAATATAGGCAGGATCATTTTTGTCATGTGTGATTTATTTTTAATGAACTATATTAAAAGTGAAACGAGTCAAAATGTGTCATGTTTGCTTCCACCAGTGGTAAACAATGATCAAAGGCAAGCTGCTGGGTTGTCATTTTGTCTTATTGTTCTTTCAATCAGCGATGGTGTATTCACCATTGTCTCCTTTGGTATGCATTTTCTACTGGATACTTAGAAAAGATAAGAACAATGTGTTGCTGGTCATTCAATAGTTTATTTCGTATAAGTTACACTGTTAGTACTGGCAATCAGTTCCATTTTTTTCCTGTCGTGTAACTAGTTTACTCCATAAGTTATTCCGCATCTTAGTTAAAGGTGTTAAAATGATTTTTACGTTTCTTGTTTCTTTCGTTTTCTTTCTTTCATCCTCTCATATTGAAGTCTTTTTTCTTCCAAGTAACGTGGATCTGGGGGAGACACGTAATCTTGCCATTTTTTCTGTGGATGAAAAGCATTACAGCTGTATGACTGAGATCAGAACCAATGTACTAAAAAAGCCCCTATCATGCATGACCATTTAATTAATAACTCTAAGGCTTAGAAACATTTAATGAAGCACTGAGATGGAGTGTTCAGTGAAAGGAAAGTATAAATCCATTCCCTACCAGTTCTAGTTGAACTGTCACGCCTACTGGAATATTGTCGCGCAAGTATTGAACAAAGATGTCTGACTTCTCAACAGGAACCTCACCAATCTGCAACAACAAGAACAAAAAAAAAACAGCAACACATTTGCAGTTCAGCTACCTGTAATCACCTGTGACATCATCAGTTTTAATGGTCATAGACAACTTTTACGCATATTAAAATTCTACAGAGGAATAAGATCATTTGAACCAAAGTATGTTTGAACCAATTTCAGTGCGTGGGGGCGGGGAGTGTTGCATGACTTCAGCTTGAGCAGCTGTGAAGGAGACTAAAAGTGGAACCAGAATATGACTAAACTACAGGTAGCTTTTACTAAGCCTTGTGTACTAACCTCAATCATTCTTCCATGTCTTTTAAACTGATATGTTTCTTTGTGTTTTTTGTAAGTGTCTGGAGGATGGGCCAGTGTCTGACTGAAGCTCTCAGTTGCAAGGTTGAATCTAAATTTAAAACATTCCATACCACATGTATAGACTGTACCATCAATATTTTGCACTAATAACTGATTTTATCCACATTAAAAATACTTATGTTTTTTTCCAAACAACCCAAGATTATGATTTGATGAAACTTTTGCAATTTTTTCAACCCTTCCCTGCATCTCCTTGAGGAAGTTACTAAAACAGGAAACAGGGAGGGCGCTACGAGCAACGAGCACAGGGAACGGGAAAATGACAACTGGGAACAAAACCTTAGCTAAAACCTAGCCCTATCAGTGACTTCATTTTCAATTCTTTGTTTTGTTCCCATGTTTCATTTTTCTCTTCCCTGTGCTCTTTTCCGCTCCCTGTTCCCCGTTTTAGTAACATTCCTTTTAAAACCACACAGGAACGCTTTTAACATTGTTAATCTTCGAAGGAGGCTCATCCTCGGTGTAAGAACCTGTAAGGCTCAAGGGTGAAAATAAAGAAGACAAAGAAGTGAACACAATAGGAAAACAAAGAAAAAGTTCACAGGTTCTTACACCGAGGTAGACCCTCGAAGTACATGTAGGTGTACATGTACATGTACCCTCAGATTACTAAAATAATAACCCCCTCCAAATGTATCTCCCAAATTCAACTAAAAAAAAGTTTCCGATAATTCCCTCTTTATGTAAGCCTGGCCTTAGTGTGTTGATCAATAGGCTGGAGGGTGAAGCTACCAAGGCTTTAACCTGATGTACAGAATCTTATTATGGCGGCTTCCAGACCCTGCTGTTTTAGTAATATCCACTTAATCCATTTGCGTTTGCAAGCTACTGTTCCAGTCAACCTTCCTGATAAAGTAATGATTGAACCACAAAATGTAATAAGTAACACAATCAATGGTCATGACATTCAAAGCACAGAGGGCATCACACTTCTCGGATTTAATATGACGGTCAACTTATATTAATATCAAGAATGCTCTTAATATCGGCGTTAAGTCTTGCTTGCTTGGAGATTAGATAAGAAATGAGGAGGCGATTAATTCTAGACGAAACTGGATTTACTCACTAAGGGTTTTTACTCGCCACTTTATTGACAGTCGAGTATTCTTCAGGATATTTCCTTTTTAATCGTATTCGATGATTAATTTTGTTTCAGAATTGATTGAGTACGTGTGCTAGTGACAGCCGGAGATACGTCTGCGTCTATATTAATTATAATAATAATGATAATAATAAAGGTGCTAAGTGTATGAACAGAATGATTGACATGATTGACTTGAGTGACTGATGCTCCAAGTGCATGGTTTGCGCCTGGCTGATGTACAAAAAGAACACCAGCGAAGACTGTGACAGAAGAGACAATAACATTAATACTAAAAATAGTAATAATGGTAAAATTCTTATAGAGCACAGCTACATAATCTCAGCGGGCTTTACAAATGTAAGAAATAAATTATAAGAAAATTGATTGAATAAAAATGCGTGTATAATTACACGAAAATTCAAGGGCCTTGATTCGAGAGAAATTACATCATTGCCAGAGATGAAATTGAGCTAAATTGGCTTTCAGTTCCCAGTCAGCTTTATTACCGGAACGCTACAATGGCTTTTAAATGTATGACCGGTCAAGCCCCTGAATACCTTACATCAAAATTCATAAAGCGAGCAGAGGTTAGCCGACGTAGCACCAGAAATTCACAGCTTTTACAAATTCCCTTTTTTAGAACAGCTGCCGGTCAGAGAACATTTTTCTATAGAACTGTGAACTTATGGAACTCCTTAGACAATTCCTTTAAACTGTGTAACTCGATTGATGTTTTTAAAACTCGTTTACGTACTAAATTACTTAAAGAATTGTAATTTTATATATATTTTAAAACATTTTTTAATTGTAAATAGGATCATGTATTGTCTTTGAAAAGCCCCTTGGGAAAGTCAATAAAGTATGTATGTATGTATGAAAACTTGATGAGAACATGGCAAGTGATTTCAATCATCGCCAGAAAATAACCTGCAAGCTCATCACAATATTCATTTGCATAATGAAAGTTTACAACAACCGACTAGTTAACCCTTGCTAATTAAGATTCTTCTTTTTTTTTTCCGACTACTGACGTGTTCACCTGTTCCACTGACAGTTATCGACTCTTTAGAGCGATAGAACTCGTGGACCGACCCGTTCCGGATAAGCTCTAAATCGCATTTATTAATCCAGTTTCCTTAGGCCCGGTTCAGACGCCGTACTTTTCATGAGCCGAACCTAATACATTGAATTAAGTACATGAAAAGTTCGGCGTCTGAATCAATTAGTAACGCCTGTTTCAATTTGGAACGGCTCACCCGTTCTTTTCGCCCTTGCATCGACTTTGGAACGCCTTTGATTCAGACGCCGAACTTTTCATGTACCGAACCTAATGCATAAATTCTTATAACGTATTTTGTAAGCAGTTTGACCAAAATGCGCATTTTTCGCCTTCTAAATTTAGTTCGGCTGGAATTAAGATCGGCGTCTGAATCGGCCTTAATTCGAATTAGGTTCGGCTCATGAAAAGTTCGGCGTCTGAACCGGGCCTTAGCTTTCTTCGCAAAACAGGTGTGGCTGTAGGCTCGATTACCAGCCGCTGTTCGGGAAAATGAAGACCGGACCCGGGAGACGGCGGAAATCGAGCCTAGTGTGGCTTCAGTCACGCAAGGATTCTTATTCCCAGTCTCTAAAAGGAACGCCTGGGACCCCCAAACCCCTTTTGTGTCCTAAATAAAGATTTTACGAGTCACTGCTTACGCAAGCAAGACTAATAAACATACATAATGTAGTCACTAATTACTAGTGAACTGTATAATATAGAACAAAATATTAAAATAGGAAATAAAGGAAAAAAGAACAGAAGTGAAAAGTTTTACTGTCAGGAATGGTGCGTGTTTGAGTGTTCAAGACTGGTCTCTTTTCCTTGGGCAGCAGCATCTCATAAAAAAGCACTCACTCAGCATTTGTACTCTTTTCAGCTTTTCAAATTCCATAACTTTCCCGTGTTCCATGACCTTTGGAATACCTGGCACTTTCGAAAATTTTCAAACCCATTGTTGTTTTAGGGTATTTTTTACCTAACTCATTTCAAAAGACACGAAACTCTAGATCTTGTGTTCAAATTGGAGTCCACTAAACTAGTGCTGTTCACCCTATTTAATAAAATTGTTACTTGTCTCTATTTTAATACGTCGTTGCTTTGACAATCTAAATTGTTACTTGTCTCTATTTTAATACGTCGTTGCTTTGACAATCTGCAGAGAGTAACTTATCTACCAAACATAACTTTAATTTTCCATGACTTGCAGGTTTTCCATGACCTGCACAAACCCTGTCACTTAAACTTTCCACCGCATACATGTATTAATTTTAGGATCTGAAAACCAAGTCGTGTTTACCTTTCAAAAAAAGCCAGGAAGATACTATCATCATTTTTGTGGGCATTTTTATTAAAACAATGTTTCCACTCGCACTTGTTGGATACCTCAATGGCTATCTACCATCTCATCCAACATGCCCTCATTGAATAATTTGTCGTCACTCAAAGGAAAAATAGGCTTTTATCTATTTCACTGTTGCTGTACAGCTGGTTCTCAAGATTTGAAATAATTTCCCACTTACTTTTTTGTTACTTTAAGATCCATCATTCTGCTTGCGCTGACCACAAACTGACAGAAGTTATCAAGAACTGCACTATCCAAGCCCTCCAACTTGATCAGCAAATTAAAATAGGTCAAGTAGCGTTTAAGGAATTGTTTACTCTACAAACATAGCAAGAACAATAAAAATAGGAATAAGTTACAGCATGCAAAGCTTGGGCCGATCATGAAAGTTGGGAACATGTTTAAACAACATTACAACGCTAACCATTAAATTTAATCCACACAACATGAGGTTGATCAACAGTTAAACTAGTGAAGAGGTAATTGAAGTAAGTCTGAGGTTCTTAAGGGTTCTCCCAGAGTTCTGAGAATAAAGAACAGTGGCTAAAAAGATGAATAACAGAAACTAGCAGTGGTTAACTAACACTGGAGATTAAAAATTAAGTGTATTTTAACAGCCTCTCCCAAAGTGTGCCGTGAAGATCTGCCCAAAAACATCACCTTCCCATTGTGATTGAGTTGGTGGAAAAGGGTAATCTGTCAGCCAATAAAATTAATTTATAATGATGGACACCCGCCATAGATACTATACAGACACAGTGGCAGATCCAGACCTTACGACAAGGGGAGGCCTTGTCATCCCTGCGATAAGGGGGGCGGGGTCTCAAAAAAAACTTTTGCCCTTTGGGGTCAGTTTGGGCTAAAAATAAGGGGGGAAGCCCAGGCCCCTCCCCTGAATCTGCAACTGCTGTATGGGACTGACATGAGGGGAGAAGGGTGAAAACAGCACAAAGTAAGGCATTGCCCTTGGTTACTCAGATTAGAATATTTATTAATCAGCAATACTATGAATCCATGTTACATAGTTTGCCCAAATCAATAAATTATTATAACGTCTGTCAAGCTACACTGTATAAATTTTTTAAAAATCACTTTCCTAATTACCTCAACTTCTGCTAATGTTGCCAGCTTACTGCTACTTGTTGCTACTTGTGGTGATAACTTGTAAGGTACATCTGAAAACACAACATACTGCATCATGTTTTATTTGATGTGGAATTATTATTACAATCTGGCAAACTTTCAGTTTTGCCTTGAATTATTTTAGAGAATGTACTGTTCATCTGAGAAACTTTACAGTGTATCACAGGCAAGTTTACATCTACTGTCATCAGCCAAATACAATGGAACCCCACTGTATGGAAACCTGCTTAACACCCATTTATGTGGACAACGGACACCTGTTTCTAGCCCAATCAAGAGATTCTCATAGAATGTTAACTTCACCAGGGCAGGCAAGTCATTTTCAACTGTCTGCTGTAATGAACCTTTAGTTTTACAAGAAGTTAAAAAAAACCTTCTGGCGACTGTGCTACATGACAATACACTGGATAGGATGGATTGAAGGAATCCATGCAAAAATGCCATGTGATATTTCCCTAATTTTCAAATGTGCACTATTTACCTGCGACTTATTATTTTTTTGGGGGGGGACATACTGTTAACATTTTCTTTACAGTTTTCACTTTATTTGGTAGAAATCAAATTAAACATTATGCTTTCTGCAAAAAACATCTACCTTCCTGGTGGTTTCTTTGGTAACACATCATGGTCTCGCATAACAAAACGATGTGTTTCTTTCATCAAACAATGAAGAAACTTTACAAGTAATAGCTGCCCATATCTGTGGCTAGCGTGCAGCTCAGAGCTTGAAAGTGGCCTGAAAATGCTTCATGTCTTTTCTCAACCAGTCACTTTTACATTGGAGTCCCCCTCTCCTGTCTCCCCAGCACAATGTTGTAGAATAAGTGTAGTGGCCTACAGTAACTCATGCTAAAAACCTTGTTTGATCAAGAATATTATGCCAAATGATATTCCCAACATATTAACTATCCAAACATCAAAGAAGAACACTGTCTGGAGGTGAAGGGGGGGGGGGCTGTGTTTTCCCTTGGGGAGGGGGATCCACTGTTGCTGATTGTGAAATGGATAGGTTTTTGCACAAGTTATTTCTGGGAAATGAGACAAATTGAGGATGAAAATGTTTGCAAAAGTAATTCTATAAGAAAGGAAAAGCCATTTAAGAATAATTGTGTACCATTACAGCACTTTCCAAAATCACCACATTTTCATAGTGATGTTCAAAATTGTAGACGTCAATTTAGAGACTATTTTGGCATCAAACAAGTTATGCAGAGAAAAGGTTTTGATCAAATAATGTATGACTGAATGAGTGTTTCTACAGACGCAGTTGACCCATGCAATGATGACCTTGTGAGGGAAAAGTTTATGTTAAACTTGACAATACTTATATCCTAGTAATTATTCTTTTGTATTTTGTTCAAATATAAGATGTATTTTGGACTTCAAGGATATTGCTGTTTTTTGTTAATTCATTATTTAGTGCCTTTAACCCTAAACAAAATGCTCCTGTAGAGTTACTACAGCTATAGGAAAAAGATGTCAAACAAATTTCATCAGGGAACACTAATGATAGAAGTTTTGGTGATTTGTGCAAGATAGCATTAAAACTTGAAAAATATGTTGGCCAGAAACAGATGTTGGGGAACAGTTTCAGTGCTGAAATATAGTCTTAAAAACAAACCAGGACCATTATTTTTGGAATTCAATTGATGTGAAGACATGATTTGCAGCTCCTTTAAATAATATGACCTGCTTAATACACTCCAGACACCTTATTTACAAAGTATACAGTCACTTTATATTGCCCCTTCAGTGTCCATAACAACAGGGTGTGAGTGCACCTGAGAGTAGGTCCAAAATACTTGAATGCACTCTCTTTTATTTTTTGCAACAACTACATTTGATAAGTGCCTGGATGGTGAGTTTAAACATGTGAAATCATTATTTTTTGTACCTGATTTCTGCCAACACACCAGAGGAAGTATCCGTGAGAATAGTCTGTTAACCAAACATAACTAGAATCAAGCCCTTTAAGGGCGCATGTGAGTGAATTGAACAGAACTGGCACACATTTATAAGCAAACAAGC